TAAAGTTATATTGCATAATCTTGCAAGACACAGATGTTAGAGAAATCGGTAATTTGCATAGATGCTGGCCACTTCAGTGAAAACGCTCTATCTTTTTTTTTGTTTTTGTAACAAAATAAAAAGAAAAAAAAGGAGAGAGAAAAAAAGAAAATGCTCTATCCAGTGACGGGAATGCAGGGTGTAGTCGCATCCTTTACGCGCTATTTCCAAACAAAAAACTTTATTTCTAGACTTTCTAAAATCGGCGAACGGAAACGAAGCAAAACAAGGGGAAGCGGCACAGAAAAATAATTATTAACAAATACAAAGTCAAGATAAAACAAAACAACTTACGAAACTGAACGAAAGAAATAAGGCAACCTGAAAATGCGAATAAAACAAGAAAGATACTTACTAGACGATAGGTACCGATAGCGAAAACTAACACGAAACTCGCGGATGAGCAAAGGCCAAAAAAGACAAACCGTAAATTGCCCACTGAGTACAACGACCAAATGACGCGAAAATTACAAGCAAAACTTAATATACGATATACAAAAAAAGTCTAATGCAAAAAATACACAAACAATAAACGGCTAATGAACCCAAAACAGCACTAACGGTGCGAAAAATAACAGAGCTAAGAAAGGCGGCGAGCACACAAAGCTTAAATAAAATTAGAAAGCGCAAGATTCCTGGCATTTACACAAGCCAGGAAAGCAATCCAAAATGTAACATACAACTCTGGCAGCATGATCTAATTTTCTTTTATTTACAAAGTGATATAAAAATACATTGACCGAAATATAAATCTCAAAGACAGGTATCTACGTGTATAAATTGTACGTAGTCAATATTGATTTAACAAACGGTGAAGCTGAATTATTCTTCTATGATCTGCTAGCATGTGCCTTCACCTTATTTCCTAGACATGGTATGAGTTTTCTCATCTAAATATCTGTTATCCCCCATGTTCCTAAACAAAATTCCAAAGATATTATTCCCTTGGAATGAATCATTGAGCTAAGTAAACACAAAAATGCATACTTGTCGTTAAAGTAAAAGGCTTAAATCCCAAGGATTAAAACTAATTTCTATATTTCTCCTTACTTAAACAGAGTTTGCCAGCGCACTATTCAGCTCAATAATTTGTTCCTGCATGTTGTAAGATATTTGCACATTGTTTTTACAACCAAAGCACACGTATAGCTCAGTTAACCCCTTACGCCCATAATCACTCTTGATTAAAAATCAGTAGATATTTATCATTTTTATTATTAGAAGGAAAAAGTTCATTTTAATCCTTAAACTGGGGTAAAGGAGATCGTTCGTGATACCGAGGACTATGTTGCTGTTGTTCGGAGAAGACTTACGTCGATCACTCTTGGGACTTGAAGTCCCAAGAGTGATCGACATAGTGATCGACATAAGTCTTCTCCGAACAACATCAACATATGACCAAAAGAGAAGGTAATGAGAATTAACAAATTGATCATCAAAGGGAAAATGCTATGATCTTTTATCAAATTCTCTAAACTAGTCATAAAGAAAACGTATGTTGATCAGTCTGGAAAATTTGTATGAGGATCTTGGGGCATAAACGTTTAACAGATAGTCAGCAGGTTTTGCCCTGATGCTTCGGACAACTGCATGGCCAAAACCTGTCAGGTTTTACTTTCTGTCAAATTTAAACTGTAATCTACCGTAACTTATGTGCCGAATTTCAATTCAGCTGATAGAGTTGGGCGCAATTGAACTAAAGCTGGACACTTGCGGATTAATGTCTGAAACTTACAATAATTGACCATCTTGCAACAACTTTTCAGTCAAATATAAGTTGTGACCAGGTGGTCTTTTGACTGTCCCTATTTCCAATGGAACATGTTAAAATTAGGCTAAAAGCTTCAAGTCTTAGTATTTAATAAAATCAATCATTTTGGAGATTCCTCTATACTTGGATTGCAAGCACGTGACAAGGCAGTAATGTTGGTGGTCAATACAACAAAATTCTTTTCGAAGACTTACTTGAAAATAGAGTTTAGTTCCCAGTGGAGAGAAATGTTTTTGTTCCTTATCACCAACATGGCCGCCGTGACGTCACGTGCAAACCAGGAATTGGAAATGCGTCAATCACTGGAACACCTACTACCATATTCCAATAAAATTATTAATATCATATCATAATTAATGTTTAAGAATGTTTCTGGTTTCACTATCACTGGAATTGAAACGCCAAGTATAATGGGTTTCTGTGCAAAAACTAGTTTGGTCTAACACTGAATGCCAATGAACTTGCCCTGACTGCTAAATTCTCATAAGTAATAACAGAATTTGAACTCTGTAACTCAGTGATACTTGAATGTGTTTCAAAGGACATTGCACAACCTTCTGTCACTTTTAAGCCGTTCCATGCCCTCTTGAAACACTACACACTTGGCTAGTCAACCAAGCTAAACAAAATCCCCTTACACTACAATGTCGTTCCAGTTGTTACTAATTTTGTAAATCTAGGCCAGGGAAAACTGTTAAGATTTATAGCGCTGGCCCTAAAAAACATTACCCCTCTGCTGCAAAAGAAAGTCTTTGCAGAGTGACTGAAAAACTCAAGCGACAACGCACTTCTTTAAGAAAGTAAAATGATTAAAACAATAGATTCTCTAATGACTTACTTATGAAGGTTGTGTTGTATACAATCTTATAACTAAACTCCTGCCATTTTGAGAATAACATACATTTATAGTATAAGAGTAAATGTACAATATTCCATTGTTTAAACATTGCAATATGTAATCAAAAATTCCTTTAATCATAGGATAGTGTATCACCCAACTTATTTTAACTGATCTATTGATTATTTTATGATCTTACTGAAAACATTAGGAGGACGACCATAAGGACATCGTCATATGGTCCTAGATGAAAGCGTCAAATGGTTGGTTAGTTAAATAAATTCAAAGAGTTGTTAGAATCACAGACAGCAAAAACACAAACTAAACAATTCAAATACTATCCGCTACCTCACATTTTTTTGTGCAACTAAGACAAACACATCTGGGCTGGAAGTTTTCCTTACATGCAACAAACAAACTGACCACGATTTTAGAGCTGTAATGATGTCTTGAAACACTCTGTTCTTTGCCAACTGACAATATACCCAGTACTGTGTTAAATTCATGTCTGAATAAAATGCTTAGGAATATTTTCAAAAAATACTTTATTTTGCATTAGTTTACAGCTTTAAAAAATGGACAAACATAAGCCAACAATACAAACTCAAACTGCATTCATTTTGTCTTAAACTTAAACAAATAATACCATCCTTCAAAAGCTTTTTTGCTCTTCATGTATGGAAGAAAATAGTGCGTTAGGTTTTTCGCCTTCATTGACAATCTGGGTTGTCTTATTTTCCAGAAATATAATAAACTGCCTAAACTACAACAAAGAGTTTGATAGTAATAAAAATTGCATTACTTCATGAATTACGTCACTATAACAGTAACTGGAAACAGCATAACTGAAATATGAAATAAAAAATATTCATCTCTGTTAACTAACAATTATAACTACATTTTTGCCAAAAAAACCTTAATAAGCAACTAAAAGTTTAAGTTTATTCTTATATTTTATGCTTTAAGTAAAAAAAAATGCCTTACTGGTACAATGTATTTACATTAAAGACTAATATGTAAAATCACCTCAGTTGGCCGACATGGGACGTGGAGTATCCATGCAATCCACGGCTATTAAGTTACTCTTGTGTTAAACATGATTCCTTACTTTCATTAACATTTAGAATACAGCTAATTAAAAATAGTTTGAATAGTCTGTGGCATAGATATAACCATCTAACACCACTAAAATAATAGGGCAAGAAATTGACTGAACTATAATATTGCTCAGTTATTCATTCAAATTATTGCCAGGCAAGTTCATAACAGATTAAGCTTAAAGAGCAAGTCCAATGCATGCCATACATAATACCACCTGCACTGAGTTGTCATGCGAAATTGACCTTACACTTCAAAGAAAAAAACCTGAAAAAAGGCTCCTCACAGCAAGGTTACAATAAGGTTTCAACGTTGGTACAGCTGAGCACATGGCCTGCTGCCATTTGAGTGTGCTCAGTTAACTGGCAGTGTGTCTATCTGACAACCAGCTTCCAGATGTTATATTTTTTCATGGTTATAACTGAAAAAAGAATCCTTTACTAATCATGGCTAGCTCTCCTTTCCCCTTCTCCCAGCTTCTTGCCTTACTTTACTGCTGCTCACAGCTAACCCTTTACCTCTCTTCAATATTAATTGGAGCACTTGAAAAAATTATTGGATTTGGTTTTTGTGATATCCAGACTAATCAAGGTCGAAGAAAGTGTTATCAGCCGAGCCGAAGGCTGAGGTTGATGACACTTACCAAGACCTTGATTATTCCAGATTTCACAAAAACCTAATCTAATAATTGTTTTATATATTGTTTTGAAGAGAATAAGGAAAAACACAGCATCACATTGAACAGTTTGACATTGCTCTTGGAAATCATCCATAATGTGTGCAACCTACAGATCAGTCAGTAATCTGTTACCAGATAACTAACTAGTCAGTAGGTTGCACTAATTTCCAAAATAAAATTATCTCTGGGCTCTTAGCCAATGAGAAGACAGATAATGAGAACAATGTATAATTACTCCAGTTATTGGATAAACAACAAAAAAACTTTCAAAATTAACCACCATTAGCTTGTTAAAAAATCAGCAAAATAAAGCCATATTTCGGAAACTGGGAAATAATATTATTATTTTGAATGAATAACAATACATTACAGTCAAACCAGGTCGATCATACCCCCAACATTTCATTAATCAATTCATCATTTGAAAGTTGAATCCGTTAGTAGTTGTAAATTTCAGATTTATATCTGCATTCCTGCATTCATAATGACAGTCAATTTTACATGTGAGGTAGTTCTAAAATTTCTGAAAGCTCAGTTTTCTTAAAGTTGATATAAATGTCTTCAAAGATTTTATTGCGCTGAATACTAAGAAGTTGTAGCAGAAAATTCAGTGCGCATTGCGCATGCAGGAATGCAGATTTGAATTTCATACTTGTTGTGGCCATGAATAACAGTTTTGATTTTTAACATAATCAATTCATTAATGGAATTTAAAGGGGGACACTTGACCTGGCGTCACTGTAAGATGTGAGCTTTCTTTCCTTGGGGCAACCACTATGAGGTACTATCACTAAAACTTAACACCTTTTCTTGTTAGTTTACCAATAGTCCTTAATTTTGTACCTGCACCTCCTTAAAAATTTCAATTCTGGGGAAAACTTTTCTCTATCATTGCTTTAAAAATGCAAGCTATCAACTATTTTCTAAATTATACAGCTAAAATGTTATCATGCAACCTTTCTGCATGTGTGATTGATACAGGGAAAAATGATTGAGTTTTACTGACTCCATGAACAATGTATAAATTGGTCACCTTGATACACTCAATTGGCCAATTCTTTATACTGCTTTGAATCATTCTGATAAAAGTCTTCCAGCATCCACGTTAGAGTTTCAAATGTTGGTCGTTCGAGCGGTTCACTTTTCCAACACGCCTTCATTAGATCATACAGCTTATCAGGACAAAGGTTTGGTTTTGGCATTCTGTAGCCTCGGTCAACTTCTTCAACAACCTAGGAAATAACAACAATAAAATTATAGTGCTGTACGTGTTCAAGAATGATTTCAACTCCATTCTAGTCATACTGCATTCACCAACAGCATTTATCAGGGGCACCCAACGAGAAAATAGTTCAAAACCACTTAAACATAGCATTGTTAAACGTATTTTAAAATTAAAACAGTAGATATAGGCATATTTTTATCCCCTAAAAATTTTTCATCTGTTCAGATTTCCTAGCTGAAAGTCATAGTGATTCGAAAATTATAGGGATCAAAACTTACCTATTCGAAAATTTCAGCCAGAAAAAAGGCTCCTGAAAATTGTAGGTGACCTTTTTAGGGTAAAAATCCGTTAAAAATGGGCAATTATACAATTTTTTAGATGTTCAAAATCCTAGGAGAGGCAGACAAGCAAGAAATTTGGAAAAAATGTTCCGAAAATTCTAGATCTCAAATCGTCTTCCGAACAGATATTGTCCGAAAATTGTTGTTGGGTGCCCCTGATTTAGCTATTAAATTTTATGCATGTTTAGGGTAGGTTAGACTCTTAAACCAATCATGAGCTGAAAGGTAGTCCACTAGCTTATCCAGGATTACCATGTAAAAAGAAGAGCTTTAGGCAATAAAAATATATGAAGATAAAGTTCGCCAAAATTGCAGAATTTTACAGCTGAGGCTAGTAAGGTTGGGGGCAAGTTTGTGCTCCCAGCATAAAAGAACATCTATAAAATTTTGCAATTTTGCAAAGCATTAGATCACTAATCTTGGTAAGTTGCATTATTTTAAGGCCCTCTTTCTAGAAGTGATGATGGATATTTGCTTACTGCTCTTCATCAAAAGTTAAAAAAAAAAATAATGTGGAAGGGTTTATTAACCTAAGGTGTGGGCATGTTCTTCTCACCTGTTTGTTGTTCATTCCAGCGTAAGGCACTCTACCATATGTCACCAACTCTGTCAACAGGATTCCAAATGCCCACACATCAGATTTAATGGAGAACTGGTTCTTAAGGCAGGCCTCTGGAGCTGTCCATTTTATGGGGAACTTTGCTCCTTCATGTGCTTCGTAGAAGTCTTCTACGGCACGTGACAGGCCAAAATCTGCTACCTTGACACTGTTATTTTCTCCAACCAGAATATTTCTTGCTGCCAAATCTCTATGGACATAGTTGTGCTTTTCGAGATAAGCCATGCCTGAAGCAATCTGGGCAGCCATGTCAATTAGATCTGCTTCTTTCAACTTCCGCCCCTCATCACTTCGCAGGTACTCAAGCAGGCTTCCTTTTTGCATCAGTTCTGTCACAATGTAAATAGGCTCTTCTTTGGAGCAAATTGCATAAAGCTGCACCAATTTGGGATGGATTAATCTTTTCATCAGCTCTGCCTCCTCCAGAAATGCCTTTGGATTCATTGTGTCTGGCTTCAATGTCTTTATTGCAACAGCAGTGGTATCATTCCACACACCCTCCCACACCTCTCCAAAGTTGCCTTGCCCAAGACGCCTGACAAGTCTGAGTGTTTCTCGTGGTATTTCCCAGGCATCAACAGTGTCATGTGATAAACCAACAGTCTGGGGTTTCTCAACCTTATGACATAAACATAGTGGAAAGATTAAGTACAGTGGAACCCCATTAATACGGTCACCAATAAGTGAAAAAACAGGCTGTATTAACGGGGTGGCCGTTATTTTTTAGGCAAAGTCAAACTTCACAACTTAACAAGGGCCACAATGAACAACTCTATAATGGAAATGCAGATTTAAGAACAGTAACTGTAAAAACTGCCCTGCCTGAAACTTCAATTAGAACAAAAGACACTTTTGGCTATTTAACTGTTGAAAATACAGGCTCAGCATAATATGCTTCTGAAAACGGAGGTTCTGAGCTCTCTGACTTTTTTTTACATGTACATCGTAGTGCAATAATGTTCATGATTGTGAAAAAATAAAACATTGGTGAGCTTTGACTGGCTTGTTCTACATTCCAGCCAATCGCAAAAGGGCATCTGCATGTTAATGTTACCCTTTGACTAAAGAAAACGCAAACCAGCTCACTTGTTTGATTACTAAATAACAGAGTTCAATGAAATTATTATTGAAATGCACAAGCATTTTGATTTTCTAAATTTAGCACCAGTGGCCATAAAAATGGGGTGAAATTATAAGATATTCTACTGTTTGGGATTTCATAATGTGCCCATTGACTGTATTAATAAGTGACTGCAATAACAATGTTTTTTTTTTGTATGAAAATGTATGACAGTTTTGCCAAGCCAAAAAACATGGCTGTATATAACAAGGCGACTGTATTACTGAGGTGGCCGTAAGGCAGGGTTTCACTGTACAATAAAAACCTATTTATGGTCTCTTTCAAACTTCCCTTTATATCTTATGGATGCAAAGGACACAAAGGGCATTTGTTTGACCAGGATACCAATTGAGTGTGACAAACCAGATGCATTGTTCGAGGGTATAGAATGCTGTGTTGACAATAAATTTCTGTAAGCACAAAGTGAAGAATAAAAATCTTCAGCTTCAAAATGAAAGTCATCAGGTTGTAGCCTGAATTTGAGCCAATGACTTATGTTGGATCACAAGTAGAATTTTGTCACAGACAAAATTAGTTACTGTCAACAGCGCATATCATATATTCTATAACTTGCAGCTCTGAATATGTAATATTCAACTTAATTATATCAGGGTACATTTTTGTAAGAAATGGCTTGATTACAACTGCTCTGTGATTTGTGACTCACTTATTATTTTGTTGACGACCTTGTAAGCTATATCTATGAACACTAACGTGAATATGACGTCAAAAAAGTGAGATACCCTCACAAAAAAGACTGACTAGAGGTAACACAGTTACTGGTAAACCAGTAGTTTTCATTGTGGCCCAGCAAGTTAAGAAACGCAACTGTCCAGAGGCAAACCTGGGTAGTTACTAGCATGACTGATGAGAACAAATCCAGCTAGCAGTTCGGGCAGGGATTGAACTCATGACCTTCAGATTACAACATTTTAGCACTCTAACTGCTTGGCCACAACATTATACTTCACAAAAGGGTAACAATAAACAATATTAGTCAACTCTCACACTCATAAAAGTTCTTAGGATCAAAGAGCTCAACACAAGCCTTAACATTATTTTGTTATAGAAGAGGATTTTTCCCATAAACTCAAAAGATCCATGTAGAACTCAAGAGTGTATTCAATGATATTTATAATGCCAGGCTGACCAGTCAGAGACCAATGGAATTAACCAAAGAAAAAGGGAACTTAACCTTGTCTAATCAAAAGAACACTTGCACTTGGACTGAAGTATAATAATAACATTCATACTTTGATTAAAGTACTGGTTGCTTCTCAATAACGCAAAATGAAAATTGTACGGTAAGTTTGGTAAGTTTTGGCTGAACCAAAACAACTGTTGACGGAAAAAAACTTCAACTTAAAAAAATAATAATAAAAAATAAACTGGTCAAAGAGTGTAGACCATCTTTATCCACGAAAACCATCAAGGACGTAGCTATAAATTTCCCAGAGGTATGCACATTTTTCCAAATCAACCCAACCCCATCTCCCAAATTGTTTTCTCACAGATTACTTAAGTTAAATTTCTTATCAGTATGCTGAGGCAATCATCTCACTCAATCTTGGAACATTTTAGGCAAGAGTTATGGCTTTTGTGTGTGGGAAAACACAACACTTTGTTTTGACAAAATTATCTGAAAGCAGTTACAATTAGTATAGGTAATAGCATGATTTGTATTTCAAAATTGTTATAAGTATAAATACACAGTTGTTCTGCTTTCCAGCAATGCTATTATTTGTTTATACTTCTTCCCACAAAAGGTTTGTAATTTTCACATGTAGGTATTTCAAATTAAGCTGAAATACCACTGCTCTAAGCCAATCAGATTGCAGAAATTTCTCATGTAGTAGTATAAAGGGCAGTATAAATACACAGTTGTTCTGCTTTCCAGCAATCCTTTAGCTTTTGTTCCATTGCTTGTTTCTTTTTTAAATTTTGTTTTTTGTTTTAATTTATCTTTGATTGTTTTTCAAGTACTCACATGTGTACTGGTGTACAGGTACAGCTTTACAACCCCTCAACATTCACACTTCAACTGAAATTTTAGTGTTTCAGTGCTGTTTTGGAGCAAAGAATGACCAGCACGAGTCAAAGACTGAATGAAAAATGGCGCAAGTAAGCTCTTGTTCCATTTTTTGCATGGCCAAAACCAAAAATGCCATTCCTCCGTCTTTCTTTGCTCCGAAACCAAACAGAAATGCTTGCTACACAGGCTACTGAAATTTGGGAAATTTTAGCATAACAGGAAGCACCTCAAGTCATTCGCGATCAGTCAAAACCTACCTTGACACAAGGAACCTTTAGAACATCACATAAACCATCTGGGTGTTGAGAATAATGATGAATCAGTTCAACAAGAGACTCAAATTGAGTGTTGTGGGCTATAAAGAAGGTTTTTTCATCTGATGTGCGTATTTTGTAGTGTTTGACCGTGTCTCCATCTCTCATGGAAAGAGCAAATCCCCCTTTGTCACTTTCACGCACCAGAAATGCTCCATGCTCATTTGGTTTTGTCTTCAGGATCTTCTCTGCCTCTGGACGCTTTATTTCACCAAAGTACCAGCTACAACGTAAGAGAGCAACAAATTCAGCCACAACATTATACCTGCCAAATCTCATGCACTATGCACATGCCTGCAGATTAAAGACATCAATCTCACGCATCAAGGACAATTCCTCACCCCTCATTCACAAATCTGGAAAAATTCCTCTTTTACACATGGTTAATAATGAAAATTCAATTTAATGATGAATGATGGCTTTGTGTCCTAATGAAATTAAAACACACCAGAATTGCCGTCTTTCAAATAGCTTTGGAGGTGAGGAAACATCGTCGGAACATCTCTGGACATTTTCAGCAATTGAGAAGTCTTTGGAAAATCATTCAAAACCTTTGGAAGTTGCTGGGAGGTTTTCGGAAATCCCACTCATGACAAGGCAAAAATCTCCCGCATTTGAAACAAAGAAAGTTGGCAGGTATACAACATTCCTTCTTATGAAAAACATGGATCCCTCTGAAAGGCGATAATAGTTACAATATCCAGACAAAACTTTCAGTTTTTTAAAATCCTGGTAAAATAGATGTGAGCGGGTCACTAAGCATCACTTTTCTCATTTCTTTTGACTATTTTAGCTTACCGGTATTGTGCAATTTGGTCTCATTCCAGTTATTGTTTAGTGCCAATTTCCTGTTCTATTGGTAGGTTTAATCACATATTTTTCTGTTGTCTTACATTTAGTTATCTTTTAGTTATGTCTAGGATTGGTATTTCACAGGTTTGTTTTCCTGTGCATGGTTTATACTATTCCTTCTCTCTAATCCCTCTTTAACCACCTATTATTTGCCAGTTAGGAACAGCCTGGGTGTTTCTTTTTACAATCAGGATGTGAACTAACTGTTCTTTACTCATCCCCTGTCAAGTAACTATTGTGTTTATCATCGCATATATACAAGCTTCTTCAGTTTAGTTAAATACATGGGGTAAAAATAAATTGGCCTTATTTCCTTGTTTTAATTCATGCCATATTAGTGTTGATTCACTTTAGATTAGCTTTTACTTTGCTTTACAGTCAGTTTTCTTGTAAGTGGATTTTGCTTTTTTAAAAAATGAACATCCATTTTTAAATTGATAAGCCGCTTAGCCGGTTCCTTGCATCTAAAGGATCTATGTCATTGTGCCCTTGCTCTTTGGCCTCTTGCCGTTGGTGGGGTTGGACTGCTTGTGCCACCTGGTTACACAGAAATAGTACCCCATCCCCCACCCCGCCTCTACAAGACATCGATACCAATAAAAAGGATGGTCCAGCTTATATGTGTGCCTCTTTGTGTGGCTTTGCTCAGCTGGTCAGAATCTCAGTGTTCATTAACACTTAATATTTCAGTTGAACAAGATCTTATATTAATAAACTTAAGCTACTATCTTGGCTTACATTTTGTTAGACCATTAAAGGCCTGATACAACCACACAGAGATGCCAGTCAACCTCAAGGATTGTTTAATACAAAATAAAAAAAACATTTCTTTGCTTTCTTCTTGAAAAGGTTATCAAGATTTTTTTCTTGAAGAAACTAACAAGAGTAGAGCAGAAAAAAAAACAGTGTAGCCTGCATAGCAAGCGTTTCCTTGTAAGTTCGTCGAGAATGTTGGGACAAGAGCAAAAAAAAAAAGAATGACGGGGGAGGGGGAGGGGAAAGAAGGAAACGCTTGCCTGCAAACCCTACGATTTTGAAAAACTGCGTTCGCCCATGCACGCAGCTTCTGATTGGTGTGGTGCAGGTAGAGTTGATTACTTAGCACTCGAAACATCAATCAAACCAGGTATGCTTTGTTTTGATACGTGCATCAAAGATCTGGTCTCATCACTTTTAATTAATAGTCAAAAAATTGATCAAGTAAAAGAAACAGTTTTCCTGGGAGTAATCATGGACGAAAATTTAAATTGGAAATCTGAAATCTCACATGTACGATGGCCCAGGAGGGTCACAGTCCAGTATTGGTTTTTGATAGTTCAGTTGTGGTTTTACACAGTCCAGTTATGGTTTTACACAGTCTAGTTTTAGTTTTTACACAGTCCAGTTTTAATTTTTACACAGTCCAGTTTTATTTTTTACACAGTCCAGTTATATTTTTTTACACAGTCCAGTTTTATTTTTACACAGTCCAGTTTTAATTTTTACACAGTCCAGTTTTATTTTTTACACAGTCCAGTTTTATTTTTTTACACAGTCCAGTTTTATTTTTTACACAGTCCAGTTATATTTTTTTACACAGTCCAGTTTTATTTTTACACAGTCCAGTTTTAATTTTTACACAGTCCAGTTTTATTTTTTTACACAGTCCAGTTTTATTTTTACACAGTCCAGTTTTATTTTTACACAGTCCAGTTTTATTTTTTTACACAGTCCAGTTTTATTTTTACACAGTCCAGTTTTATTTTTTTACACAGTCCAGTTTTATTTTTTGTGTGGTTACCAGACCTCTCTCGCGCTACTGCAACACTTGTTATCTAACGGCAGCCATTTTGTATTTCCTTGCGACGATGGATTCAATCATCAGGCGGGCTGTTCGAGAGGAACTGAGACGTTCAAGTTCTAGTGGTCCAGAAACTGCGTCTTCTACTAATCAAGATGATCAGGGAAGAAGTGAAAACAAATCAGATGCGGCTGGATCATCACGAAGTCCGTTTTCATCACGAACAGTGGGCCGATGTTTCTTAAACGAAGACCCAAAAACGAAGACCCAAGACCCCTTGGACTAAAACGAAGACCCCTGTGGATTAAATGAGATGTGTTTACGGTGATGATGACATCAGTTTTGTTTAAATAAAAATTTTTCACACTATGTACATTCGAGAAAGCTTTCGTAGTCTTGTGGTAACGTCCTTGCGTGCATCGGAAGGTCTCTCGGGATCGAATCTTGCCAAACGGAAGTATGTTTTTCCTTTCCTTTTTTTTTTCTTTCATTTTTATTTTGTTATCATTATAACAACTGCTTGAGCCGTAAAAGATGAGTCATTTTTTACAATAGAGGTCAGAATAAAGTAACAGGGATATAAATATAACCCGGTATGTATACGAATGAACCTTGCTTGCATGAAACTTCGAAATGTACACCTTTACTCGAGTGATGTTCTCGATATCGACGGCTTTTTGTTCTATTGATGAGGTAAAAGTAATAAAAAGAGCGAGGTTCCCCTCTCCTTGAATTCATCATTGCTAAATGTCTCGTTATTCCCTCCTTACGCCATGGTCATTTATTTTGTTTTGCAAATGTATTAATCGATACAATTGTTCGACATTTTGGAACGCTAGAGCACGCTGTTATATTTTCTTAGCCGTCGATCAAGAAAAGGTGGGTGATAGACTTCATTATTACAATTAAATAGTGCAGAGGAAATTCCACAACACTCCTAAATCGCCGTAAGAGTTTAATCCACAGGGGTCTTCGTTTTAGTCCACGGGGTGTTAGGTCTTAGCCCGGGGTACTGGATATATCCTTGGGTATGGAGGTGCGGCCCGGCCCCGCCCCCTATACCCTGATCCTGTTTAAGACAAAAATCGCTGATTTTCCTACAAGTGTAAGACAGAATTTCGATTTTCATACCCTGTTTAAGACATTCAGAAAACATATATACGCCATGAGGCTGTTTATCGTCCAAGAAAAGATACCCTGTTTAAGACAAAAATTGATAAAATCGATACCCTGTTTGAGACAAAAAATCCCGAAAAACATACCCTTGCTGGCTGCACGTCCCGTTAAGCCCTTACAAGGAGTACCCCGGGGTCTTGGGTCTTTGTTTTATAAACACCCCAAACGGTCCACTGTTCGTGATGAAAACGGACTTCGTGATCCAGCCGCATCTGATTCGTTTTCACTTCTTCCCTGATCATCTTGATTAGTAGAAGACGTAGTTTCTGGACCACTAGAACTTGAACAGCTTGAACGTCTCAGTTCCTCTCGAACAGCATGCCTGATGATTGAATCCATCGTCGCACGGAAATACAAAATGGCTGCCGTTAGATAACAAGTGTTGCAGTAGCGCGAGAGAGGTCTGGTAACCACACAAAAAATAAAACTGGACTGTGTAAAAATAAAACTGGACTGTGTAAAAAATAAAACTGGACTGTGTAAAAATAAAACTGGACTGTGTAAAAAAATAAAACTGGACTGTGTAAAAAATAAAACTGGACTGTGTAAAAATTAAAACTGGACTGTGTAAAAATAAAACTGGACTGTGTAAAAAAATAAAACTGGACTGTGTAAAAAATATAACTGGACTGTGTAAAAAATAAAACTGGACTGTGTAAAAAAATAAAACTGGACTGTGTAAAAAAATAAAACTGGACTGTGTAAAAAAATAAAACTGGACTGTGTAAAAAATAAAACTGGACTGTGTAAAAATTAAAACTGGACTGTGTAAAAACTAAAACTAGACTGTGTAAAACCATAACTGGACTGTGTAAAACCACAACTGAACTGTCAAAAACCAATACTGGACTGTGACCCTCCTGGGCCATCATACACATGTCGCCAATAAAGTTTCTAAATGCACAGGAATTATTCGTAAATCCAGTTTCTATTTATCCACGAAAACCTTACGAACACTATATTTTTCTCTAGTCTATCCATACCTTTTTTACTGCAACTTAGTTTGGGCCTCTACTTACAGAACTAACCTTATTCGTCTTGAGATTTTACAGAAACGAGTGATCAGAACTATAGCTAAAACCACTTTCGATGCACATACTGATCCAATCTTTCAAAATCTTGGTATCTTAAAATTTCATGATATATACTTAATACAACTAGGCTTATTCATGTACTCCTATCAAAACCATACTCTACCTTTTAAAATTTCATTGTAAATTTACCTTACAAAGTCAAATTCATTCAGTATAATACAAGAAACTCGTGTAAATTTCGCCTGCCTTTCTGTTGTACTCGAACCAAGCAATTTTCCGTTTTTTATCAAGGACCTAAATTTTACAACACCTTAAACACCAACATCATCAACGCTTCCTCACCTTTCTCCTTTAAAAGAGCACTTAAGGCATTTATTTGTAATAATTATTAGTATACTTCAACAAAAATCTTGGGAAAAAGCCTTTTAATATTCAACATTTGTACATGTAAACTTCCGTAATATTGATTAGTGTAATTTTTCACCTGATATTATACTGTACCCGTCGCCGTAATTTTTATGCCATCTTCGAAAAATTGTAATTGAGGAGGCCTAATTAACATAAGCTCTATAGTTTCTTTTAGGCCTCCTCGCCATCTCTTCCTACATTTTTTTTTTTTTTTCTTTTGGCATCTTTAAGTAATGTAATTGTGTGGCAAATAAATAAAAATACCAAATACCAAATCTGATTTGTGGTCACAGATTACAAATGTTTTGGACTGATATTTATTTGAATCGTGTTTGTGTGAAGGTTTATGAGATCAGAGTCTTCAAAGTATAATTGGAGATCGAGCAGTGGAGACTAGGGAAGGCCAATTTATTGAAGATGATGGCATGCGGATCTCACTGGAAATAATGGACTGTTTATTGGAGATAACATCAACGTAAATCAGAACATTGGCACTTGACACTAGCTAAAGCCGCCATGGACAAGTGATTTGTAAGCTTTTTGAAATGAAAAGATTCTTTTTGTTTATTGGAAATTTAGCGGCATGTATTGTAGAGAACGTTTCGACACTGGTTGAAGAGCAGCTGCTCTGCAAAACTTATAGCTGGCGGAGTGAATTGTTCTGGACAATCACTCAGAGTCTTAACTTTCTTTTATCGTAATTCTTTTTTATTACAGTTCTTGCAATTGCCTGGAACGTATTCTATTAGAGAACAAAGAAATCTGGTAATCCAGGGGTAATCAGTTTGTTATACTTCTATTTTGACAAGCTCTCAATTTACAAATGAACCAAACCGTGAAGTATCAAGGGGCGTTTTCCAGAATCGTGGGGTTTGCGGACAAGCGTTTCCTCTTCTCCCCTCCCATCCCCCTTTCACCTTATTTTTTGCTCCCGCTCTAACTTTCACGCAATGACTCGATTGGAAATGCTTGCTACGCAGGCTAAAAAAGTGTTATCAACATGCTTTACTATGGCCATCAGAGCTTAGGCTTATACAGTAATTTCCAAGAGAAACAATGAAACATTGGAAGAAAAATGTATGTGAGATACTTGATCACAGATCAGAGAAACATGAAGTATACTTAATTATACTATTTTGTTGTTGTTAATACTTTCTTTTAAAAAAAGGGCATTTATCAATGAGCACTGGCAATGTACATATTGAGCAACCATAAATCCAAGTATTGTTATTTGATCCCAAGTCATGTTTCAGATTATCAACTTTCAAAGAGGAAGAAGATATTTATTTCATTTTTCTGATACCGATCAAAGTAGTCTTAAAGTTATGACACTTGGTAAGTAGTCATTTATAACTGTTATAACACCTAAGCTGGACTTGAAGAAAAGGACTCCAAAGCAAAGAAGTAACACGAATAATGGATAACGTAAAATGCGTAACAAAACAAATACTGTTCAAGGCAAGTTTCAGTAGTTTCCGGGTGCTGAGCAAGACAAAGATTAAGAAATATTAAATACCAAATGCATTTTCCCTTTCAGTGAGCATTTCATAATTCCATCATTGTGCGTTTGCCAAAGAACATTCTTAAAACAATGCTAAATCAAAGAAATAAATTATCGCTTTTAGCACGACACTAACAATAAAGCTGATTCGAGCTTCAACATGCATTCCACGACTTCGAACCTGACCTCTTGGCCAATCCAGAAAAGAGCAAATTCCAAACCCAGTAATTTTGATTTGACAAGGTTCTTATCGCATATATTCACCATAACTGACTACCCTATAACATTACAAGCAAAATTTAACTCACTCTTCAGCTTCTAGTGATAATTGAGGAGCAACGTAGTTACTGGGGATAAAGCCTTCCACACCGGTCTCGCGAGAACGAGCTCTCCACCAATCGTTTTCCAAGTCTTCCTTATTTACCTCGAGAATTTCACCCTTTTTGAAGCTAAGATCTTCTTGTGTTCGAGCATCATAGTCATAAAGAGCGATGTAAGTCAATCTTAACGCGGTTGGAGTTTGTGGAACCGGAGAAGTTGGCGGTTCAGGTACATATCTGTTCGATCCCTGTGTCTGCGAATGTTCAACGATTTCGGCATTTATATCCTTCACATCGATGTTTTCTCCTTTCTTAACGGTGTCGTTTGCGCCTGCATGGGATTTCTTTCCCAAGCAGCACCCCATGACGTAGAAGGAGCTAAGAAGAGTTGCTAAAAGGCTGAATATATCGTGACACGACCACCTAAAGATCGAAGGTTTAAAGAAGTGGTCAAACTTCAGCAATCTTCTCTTACCAGTTCCGGGATTGCGCCCTCCTCCAGCCTATAACCAGGCCTTCTCGGACTTGCACAGGACATCAATCCTGTGGGTGCGACGCTGGATGCGTCGCGAGCAGCTGGTTACATGAAGTACTATCCTCAGCAAATTTCCCCAAAATTCACCGCAAAAGTTTCTCTTTCCTTTTCTGTGTTGCTCTTCTTTCGAAAATCACCTACAACTGGCAGTTTTGACTGTTGAGCTTCAGTGCACTCTTCTTTTGCCATCAGTACTTGTTTCTGACTTATGTATTTTTGTTTTGTTTATATTTTTATCAACTTCGGAATCTTTTCAGGTATGTACGTAGAGGTCGTAGAGGCACTTATACGTGACTTACGTCCCTGACTTGCTTTAGGTACAGTTTGAGTACCAAATTAAAAGGATACCACGTAACCAAGAGCCCATAAGGGTTATGGGCTCCTGAAGGAAACCCAGTATTTCCCTCTCTTCAAATTTTATATAGGGATGCTCCAACCTCGTCCCACCCATATTTTAAGGGAAAAGTCCTGGGGACGAGGTTAGGGATGCTCTGGAATGCTACCGTAACTGATTCCGTAAATAAGCCCCGGGGCTTATATTTTTCAAAGGCCCCTTTTGAGGGGCTTATTTTTGGAGGGGCTTATCTACGGAGGGAAATTTACGTTTCAAAACCGATTGGGCTAGCCTTAAAGTTGGAACTAAATTTGCCGTTTTTGCTTTGTTTACTTTGTATCTGAGGGCAATTTTCCAAGTACAAGCCCCCGGGGGGCTTATATTTGGAGGGACGATTTAACGGAGGGTTTTTTGCGTTACCGGTTTGGGGGGCTTATATTTGGAGGGGCTTATACATGGAGGGGCTTATTCTCCGAATTTTACGGTATTTTCAGCCTTTTCTCCGCAAAATGTTTGGTCAAAAGATAGTAAGCAAAATGACATACGCATTTTGAAGCCTTTTTTTAACACGACAGATATTGACGTTTTGAAGAAGAGCTTCTCAGTCCACTGGTTGAAACTCCTTGACCTTTTTTCTCAAGATTTCCTTGATTAAGGAAGTTTCACTTTTTAACAGGAGGCGGAAGCCAGCGTGCGCGCCATTCTTGCCTAACAGAGCGCGTGTGAGCGCGCGGTGCACTCAGACTGGCCATAAGTACGCTTTTGAAACATCGCCATCAACAAGAGACAAAAAATCAGACAACGATGAATGACATGAATATATATATATTTCATGATAATTCTTACCTTGTTTTTCATCCGACCGAAAAAACTCCAACAAAAATATACTGAAATCTCGAACGCATTAAATAGGGAGCTTAAGCAAAGGCGTTTTTGAGCGACGCACGTCAACCGGAAGTGAGATATTTTTCATTTGAAATCACCTCGGCGCGAAGGGGGGGTGGGGGAGGGTCCAAGCGAGGGGTTCGAACGAACCCCCTTTGCAGGTCAATGATGGGTGACTAAAAACACAAGCTGTTAATTTTCAGCTTTTAACAACTAGTTCTCAAACCCCACCTACGCGCTTGTTGGCGCTACCAAATTTGTATTTCTTTTTGACCAAAAATTTTGGCAAAAATATCGCTGAAGAATGACGAAGTCCACTTCCAGCTAGTTGAAGAAGGGAATTTTTTATATCACGACGGCGACAGCCACAGAAAACGTCGCTTGAAAAGTGAATTTGCGTTCTTTCAATTTCTATCGCAATTACTCCAAATCATTTACTTTGTCAAATGCAAGCGAACCCCTTTTGAGCCGAATTCCTAAGAACCATATCAAGTTCAGAAAGAGAAAGAAAATTTAGCCGTCGCTTGTTTACGTCCATGATAAAACGTGAAATTAGGCATTTTCTCGTCGTGGTCGTGCAGTGACGGCAAAGAAATGTACAAAAAAGCGTTGTCTTGACTCAGTTCAACCTATCGTTTTTTGGCACGTTATCGTTGTCGTCGCCGTCGTGGCATCTTAAGGTCGCTATTTAATAACTTCAGGGGCACCCAACGGTCGAATGTTGGCATTTAGTTTTTTTAAGACCCTTCCCGCCTGACGGGCCACAGCGTTCTTAGTAAGTCAGGAGTGTCTCAGGTGGTGTTCCCTATGCTTTAGAAGCCTGTTTCGTTAATTTGGAACTACCCTAAAAACTGTATCTGTTCAGAAGTCTTAAGAAACTTTGGTCGTCTCGAAAGTCTTTGGTGACTTTTTCGTCTCATCCGAAACTGTTAGTCAAAGATTTTAGTGAACGTTTTCTCGTAAACCGAAATTTTTTTGGAGACCTTTTTTTAACAATAATCGCATCATTTAAAAAAATAAAATAAAAAAAAAACCTCCGAGCAGGAGAAAAAAATTCCAAATATGGTTAGGAGCATCTGGCATGGTAGACCTGTGTTTTCTAGCCCAGGCGACAACTGCCCACATCAGGCAGAGATGAGCTGGTGACTAGTTCCCCTCCCAGACTCGTTCTGCGCGTTCGCCTTCGGTTTCCTCCCTCGAGATCAACACTGCGAGAAAAAGTCATTTCAGCTCTCTCTCCTTCAGCTTAGCCTCTTAGTCAGCAGATAAATCGTGATTTGAAACGGGAAAGAGCTAGTTTTTCTTCCCCAATTCGCAAGGCAACCATGGGTTGCTGTTGTGCAAAGTCGAAGAAAGACAAGTATGCAGCCAACGACGAACCCGGCGGCAGAAACTTGCCACCGAACGGGCAAGCGAATGATCGACAAATGGAACCAAAGCGGGTTTCTAGTCCGATGGACGGTTTAAATGCTCACCAACCCTCGTCCATTATGTCGAGTCACTCGATGATGCAGCCATCTAAAGGCATAACGGTGTTCATTGCCCTGTATGATTACGATGCGCGGACCAAAGAAGACTTGAGCTTTCGGAAAGGCGAGCGACTTCAAGTTATCGATAACACGGATACCGACTGGTGGCTGGCTAAATCTTTGACCACATTCAATGAGGGGTACATACCGAGCAACTATGTAGCACCTGAACTAAGTGTTCATGCCCAAGAGTAAGTAAATATTTTCTATTTTACGGCGTAGTCTGTGTGCTAAACATCACCGGAAAGATATTTATATAACTTAGTTGAATTCTCGTTCGGTCGGTCGCGTACTAAATTGATGATCTTTGGAGCTTCATTCTATGACACTTCCGCTAGTTTGTTTCCGAGCGAACAATTTTTACTCATTTCACGTGAATAATGTAGCTGATTTATTTTAAATAAATCGGGGGAATAAATCCGGAGATGTTTGTTCCTTTAGAACTAAAGCTTGAAGCATGGAATGCTACGAAGCTTGCGCGTGGGGAGGAATTTAGATCAATCCGGTTGATTCACGCGTGCGATAGTGAAAAGTTCGTTTTTATTTGCGATTTTCCTGATCTGTACCATCGACCTTCTACCTCGTTGCTGGACAAGTTTTGTTTTGATCGAGTTGTATCTTATACTTTTCCGATCTTTAATCGTCTGCCCAACTATTTATGGCTTTCACTTCCGGGATAAAATGCATGTTGTCATTTCAAAGTTTAATTTCCTCGCCTTTTTTATTTTGTAATGCAAATCAAACGAATACAATGCCAGTGGTTTTGAAATTCAAAGTTCACTTTTCCTCAGACGAGGCTTTATTTTGTTAGGGAGGTAACTTGTGCGAAGCGTTAACCTTTTTCTTGGACGAATGTTTGTGTCTCAGACAAATAAATATTTTCTTCCGGACTTTCAACTTTTTCCCGTTCTCTTTAAATTGACAATCTTCTCTTCCTTTTCATGAAACTAAACCCCGCCAAGAATACTGGTGATATGTTCTTTTAAGAAATTATCAGTTTGTCACAAATGTTACTGATACATCCTGAATATTTTAAAATTTCTTAGATATTTTTTTGTATTTTGGGTCAGACTTGCTAGTAAGTTTTATTTATTTTCTTGTACTGATAACATCTGCCTTAACTCCATTTTTTGATTGCTGTCACCTGATGTCATTTGGCTGTCTCTTGTAGTTTCATGCAAATAGTCCAAGCTGCTATCTTATTGGTACTAATTTCACATGTCTTTAATAATCTTCAAAATCACAAAATTAAGACCTGCAAATAAAAATTCTCATGAAATTTAAACATGGGAAATAAAATACAGTCAAATCCCATTAACACAGACACTAAGAGGGCCACAGAAAGTGTCTGTATTAAGGTGGTGTCCATAAAGCGAGGTTTGACTTAGCCTTCCACGCAGGTGTGTACTCATACAGACAATTCAAGTCACAGAAAAAAAATTTGTATGTAATAACTACTGCCACCTGAAGAATCGAAGATATGCTTAAATAAATTTTAGATGATGTTTAGAGATATTGTTGCAAAGTACACGTACATACTGAGACAATTTGTATCCAAGTAACAATACACTTAACAGTTGGCAACTCTTGAATTGCAAAATGCAATACCCTTTTTTCATATTTACCTAAGAAATCATGAAAATAAAACCCCTGTGAAATACTTTCTTGCCAAAATCGCAAAATCAAGTGTGCACGAAATGAAATACCAATCACGTGTATGTAGCTTATGATAGTAATGAATGTGAAAATGGTAGTATTTGCATGCATGTTTCAAGACGTTATTTGTTTGAAATGTTACTTTGGTGAAATTCCGTGGCATGTTAATAGTCTACTTAATATTGTGAAACTACTGTACGTGTAGCCAAGTGCTATCAGTTGATTCCCATGTGTATGCAAATGATGATACATCAGATAATGTGATTGGCTGGCCAAACCTCTTCAGGTTTAATCTCTGTGTCCATGTTTGACAAGTTTTATTAACCCTACCCATTTTAAATACTAAAAATTTGTAAGGTGCTATCTTGAATAATATGACTGTCAAGTCTAGAGTCAGCAGCTTTTAAAGCTTCTGAGCCCTGAAATCATCTTTTGGCCATCAGCTAAATCAGAGACTTACTGAGCAAGACTGTGGAAAAGGATTCCCTAAAGAACTTCACAGGTTGAAAATGCCTAACAATTTTAAAATCCTATTTTCTATATTTTTCCTCAGCTGGTTCTTTGGCAAGATTAAGCGTGCTGACGCGGAAAAGAAACTGCTGGCGCCAGGAAGCCCCTCTGGTACCTATCTCATTCGTGATTCAGAAACAATGCCTGGAAATTATTCACTGTCTATACGAGATGGTGACAGTGTGAGACATTATCGTATACGCAAGCTAGACAATGGAGGCTACTATATCACAACAAGGGCACCTTTCACAAGTCTGTCAGAGTTGGTGGAGCACTACAGTCAGGATGCTGATGGCCTGTGTTGTCGACTTGTCTATGCATGTCGTGCAGAGAAGCCAGCTACTTCAGGGCTTTCTTACAATACTAAAGATGCTTGGGAAATTTCGCGGCATTCAATTGCTCTCCAGAGCAAACTGGGAGCTGGACAGTTTGGTGAAGTGTGGGCTGGGCTTTGGAATGGAACAACTCCAGTTGCTGTGAAAACTCTTAAACCAGGAACTATGTCGCCGCAGGCATTTTTAACTGAAGCAGCCATCATGAAGAAATTAAGACATCAAAATCTTATACAGGTATGTCATGAAATGGTTATGTCGTAATATCAGTTTTGTTATTTTATTGTTCTTGCATTAATGGAAACAACAATAAGTAGCTGGGGAAAATCCCCTGCCCCCGGTTATTAATGACAACCCTGACATGTAGTAGTGGTGTGGCCAAAATTTAATGTTGTGGGCTACTGAGCCTTCAGTTCTATGATAATGCTGTAGAGCCTCATAAGATATAAGATAATTATGTAGTTTTTATCTTATAAATTAATAAAGACTATTATTATTAAATCAGACTGAATTTGTGCAACTTGTTGCAGTGACAAAATTCTGTTGGAGAAAAAGATTTTCACAAAAGTTCTCCACTACACACAAAGATAAAAATTGTTGCTGCAATGTCGCATGATTTGTCCCTGGGCATGTTGCCTATAAACTGTTTTGATCATAAAGAATTAATTTTAAACCTTTTGTGCTTTAAAATACTTATTCCAGTTACACTGTACTTGCATTTACAGCTTTATGCAGTTTGTACCCAGGAGGAGCCAATTTACATTGTAACAGAGCTTATGAGGCATGGAAGCTTGCTAGAATATTTGAAGGGAGAAGGGAAAGATCTCAAGCTAACAGAATTGATTGACATGGGGGCACAAGTCGCTGCTGGAATGGCCTACTTGGAACGGATGAATTACATCCATCGTGATTTAGCTGCAAGAAATATCTTAGTTGGTGAGGGGAATATCTGCAAAGTTGCTGACTTTGGCCTCGCAAGACTGATCGAAGATGATGAGTATAACGCACACCAAGGAGCCAAATTTCCAATCAAATGGACAGCTCCTGAAGCTGCTCTTTACCAAAAGTTTACCATAAAATCTGATGTGTGGTCGTTTGGCGTGCTGCTGGTAGAATTGGTTACGCATGGCCGCAATCCTTACCCTGGTATGACAAATGCCGAGGTGCTGGCCCAGGTGGAGCGGGGATACAGGATGCCTCAGCCTATGAACACCCCTGATGCTCTTTACCAAATTATGCTTGATTGTTGGAAGAAGAATGAGTGGGAAAGACCAACATTTGATTATCTTCAATCAATATTAGAGGACTACTTTGTCTCAACAGAGCCTAATTACAAAAAGTTGGATCCATAGGTGAGTCATTCAATGAAAAAAAAAAACAAAAAAAAAACTGAAATCGTGTTCTGTGGTATTGCAGTAAAATGCATAAAGTTTTTGGTATTGGTCACCATGGAAATCCTGATAATTATATACCACCTTGGAGATAAGTATTAGGTGTTAGTAAAGTATGCTATCTGCTGAATCATGCAGGACAAAAACTAACAATTCAGGAGGGGCAAACTCTTAAAGTACTGGTAAAACTATTTTATTTGTTCCTTAAAAGAGACTAGTGGTTAACTTTTGGAACTACAGTTGCCCGCAAGCTTGAAATCCATGTATATTATACTGTAGTTGGGTGCCAAGTGGCTCCTGGCAAAAAGCTATTTTTATAATCTGAGAGGGTAATTAAAGGTTGAAAATATCATTATTACTTCCTGTGTTTTCAATAAAAATTAAAGTAGCCTGGCAGCAGGTGTGAATTAGAGTAACCCAGGGTATCAATGAGAAGAGGAGTCTGAGGGTGTGCTCTCCCAGAAAATTTTGATATTTTTGAAGCCCCAAAATGCCATTTTCAGCATTTTGGGACACTAAATTGAGTCAAAAAATGATAAAGAAAGATTCCTTATCAAAAGCAGCATTTTCTTATTTTTACAATAATGATCATCAGTAGTGAGCTAAGATAATTACAGTTTGTATGCATTTCCTGGAAATGATTTTAATGAAAGCAAATGGACCATGTGTAGCACACTGCATTTCATGCAAAATGTGAGCAACTAAAGTCACTAGTCTTATTGTCCCTTTTTAGTGGTATGGCCATTTTAATTTAAGTTTTGACAGAGTCTTCCTTTAATTTAATACTTCATTTCCAGCTTTGCGATTACAGTGGAACCCCTCATTTGGGACATCTCTATTCAGGGGACACGTCCATTCAAGGGATACAAAATTTGGTCCCAGAAAAATGTTTACATGATTTTTGTATTTGTTACTTACCTCTGTTGAAGGGACACCTCTATTCAGGGGAAAAGGACACTTTTTCTAGGTCCCGAAACCAGGGTTTATCCTCCATTCAGGGAGCACTTTAGCACTCAAAAAGTGATTGACCACAAAAATCTTCGACCACTTTCCCGAATCCCTTTTTTTGTTTTCAGAATACATAAGTTGAAAAGGTTTAATAAAAGCTTGTAAACGTAAGATATAGATATAAAGCCTTTTCAATTGATATTTTGAATTATACCTCAGTATGACGAAGCGGGGGAAAAAAGTGGAAGAAACAAAGAGAGAGAGAGTAGAGTCTCCTCCTCCTCCCTCCCGACCTTACTTCCTCCCTTTTTTTCCCTGCCCACTTTTCTTCTGTTATTGCATTTTGTTTGTCTTTTGCCTAGTTTCAACCAATCAACATGTGCTTAGTCGAATACATAGGTCTATTTTACGATCACATTATGTTATGCAGACTGACAATATTGCATTTCTCTTTACAGAATACAAGATCTGCAATTCTCAGAAAATTAGAGAAACTATAGAAGTACTGTGCAATCCATTATTTTTACTTAATCATACATTTTAGAAGAAAAAATAAAATTCAGATTTTAACTCTAACTTTATAGTGTCCAGCAAGGTCACAGCTAAAAGTTTAAGATGGAGTCCATCAACATGATATCATACACATGAAACTTGCTGAATTTTACCCGTGTTTTCACAATTTTTGTGTAATTAGACATTTATTTTCTTGGGTTTCCATGAGAAATTGTCTTTGGTGCTATTACAGATAACTAATTATATCTGTAGATTAGCCCTTGAAAAGTGTAGAGAAAAGAATGCAATACTGTTTAAATTATTCTGGTACAAGGTTTTTATCTACTGAAAATTAAAATTACTCAATTTCCTGGTGGATTCTGTCTTAAAAGTTAACAGTGAAGTACTTAGCCTGGGAAAAAATTTAGAATTAAATTTTTTGCTACAATATAAAATTTGTGACAAACATCACTCTTCAAGCAACATTAATTTATTAGAGGGATTCATTTTATTGGCTTTAAACATAGATATGCAACTTATCATTTCCTGCTTGCAGAATCTCTTTTGGATGAGTAGAAAAGGAGACTGTCCTCTGTCTCATTCTATTTGTGGTGTTGAGCATGTGGTAGTGCTACATGTATCTTTGCTGTCAGTTTAAATGGTAAAATCTACCAATAATGTAACCTTCACTGTAGCCTGTTCCAGGTGTTCAGATAGTAGAGCGCAGGCAAAAAATTGATACGAAAAGAAAAATGAGGCGAGACTAGAGAGAAAAGTCTCTCCTTGTTTTCCCCACATACGATTTTACTCAATCCCAGGCCACCACCTGATTGCTGTGCTGTACAATCTGAACGCGTTGAAAGGCTATCTTCACTGGTATCCACAAGATTACTTGTCTTCTTTGGCCGTCTTTAGTAATTACAAGTGAATGTTGAAACTTTCTCTTTTTTGGTTCCTTTTTAAGTGGTGGGTCCTACTCTCTTACCGTAACAAAGTATTGTGCTGCCTAATTCCACCCATAATCACAGACAGCAGTTATTAGTCAAAGCAGTGTCATTATTTTCTACTTGTCTAGAAGGCAACAAAAGGGATGGACTCTGCTAGCAGGGAACTTTATCTTTGGAACATGTAAAGTTTTGCTATTTATTCATTTAACTGTAGTTATGTTGCTTTTGCACTTGCATATCTGTGATATCCAGCAAAAGTTCAACAGTTTTTTATTTTTCTCCTAAGCCTCAAATAAAAGATGACAGCTTTGATTGTGAGGCTTTCGGAGTCATTTTGTTGTATTCCAAGTGACATTTACGTGAATGTCCTCTGAAGAGAAGGTGATTGAGATTATTCTGAACTGTGAATATTAGAGGCGACTTCGGCAAAGGTCTACCAATCAACAAGGTTGTCACTAAAGACTTTGGTTCTGAATTATTTAAGTTTTCTCTGTTTAAAATAAATCATTGGAATTCTGTTTGTTTTTATTCAAAAGTCGAGCATTTTCATTGCAGTTTTGTTTATGATATGGTGAGGTGATAAAACTTGTACAAAGTGTCATCAAGCTTAAATTTTTGGTACATGTTCAAATAATAATAAGTACTTTATGACTTTCATTGTTTTTCTACAATATATTGCACACCACGCTTGAGCTTTGTTTTGTTCTGGTATAAAATAAGCTGAAAGTTTGGAAAAGGACATTTTTAAAACATTACTGATCATCCCATATTTTTAGTATCTGTTAACTTGCAGAGCCAAGTTATCAAATCCATTCAAACTGTGTTCAGTTGCTTAAAATGTATCAGTGTTGTGAAATGCATTTTCAATTAATTGCTATTGCTATGTAAGTTATTTCTTAGAATATTAAATAGGAATGAAGCATAAGACATAGTTTTTAAACCATTTATAAAATAATCAGCAGCAGATTATCCAACGACCTGTCAGTGTTGTACTCAGTCAGTTTGTAAGGTCAGTAGAATTAAGGAAACAATCACCCCCAATGAATTCTGTACAGTGCTAGTAGTTCCTGAGGATTAGCATCTTCTTCTTGATCGTTCCTTCTTGTAATATCTGTCACAATTTTCACTCTCAACGGACCAACATGGAACTGCCAGCAGTCTATGAATTCTGTTATAGGTGTTTGAAAGGGAACGAGAAGGAAATTTGGGCGCAAGACAAGGCACGATGGAGCAAGGGAGAAGGGAGCCTTTTGTCACAGCTTCTTGCGTGTCTGGAATCCCCTTCCCTTTCAAATTCCTGCCACACAAGCTAGGGCTACTCTCTACTTAGAAAGGCACATGGGTATAGAAAATGAGGCACTTCATATTTAACTAAAAAGACTGGTGCTATATGTGAGTTTTTTGGCATGCTAGCTACCATCACAATCTTCAACCCTTGCATTGCAAAAGTAAATAATGTAAATGGGAACATGAGTTGTTGTGGAAAAAATCCCAGGCTGTTGTCATTCAAATGAAACTCCTTCAGACTTCAGAATAATTTTTCACGTTGATTCATTTTCTGTCATCACTTCAGAAAATCCAAGTAGAGATTTTTTCTTGTGTTTTGCCTTCTTGGAGATGAAAGGGTTTCGTGCAGAAAGTTAATTTTTTTTAGCATCTTCATGATACATGCAAGGTAATAATAATTATTATTGTTTACTACCTTACTTGTATCATAAATTATTTATGTGGGTGCTTGGAGATGTACATAAGTGACTATTTTGTCGTGATTGCCTCATGTAGTAAGTTACATTTTGGCACAGAGATTGGTTTTGACTATATTACTTTAAATTTAGTTTTGTGTAAATGTGTAAAGTGAAAATGCTTAAACACTGAGAGAAACTATATTATTGTTTTGAGCTAAAACCAGAATGATGTGGTAAAGCAATTTATTTTTCATGATCTCTTTGTATTTTGTTTTAATTTATGTTTGAACAGAAATCTAAGATTGTTCCTGTCCCCCATTTTAGGATACCAAGCAAAAAGGGTTTGATGGAAACTTTATAATAAACGATTTTAAATCAAATTCAATGCCAAAAATAGATACAGAACCAAGTTTCGTATTTGATAATCACTCTTTTTGGTGCCACAAAGGTTCTCATTTTACCCTTTCTAGTCACCAATAAGTTAAAAAACTTTCAAGGCAGTGTTTTGTATCTTATTTGTAATTGTTGAATGCATATGTTTACTCATATTTAGTAGAGTAGATACTGACGTTCAAGACTGCCATTTCATCTCCAAACACCCAAGTTATAATGTATTGATAAATAAAACCAACTTTATCCCAAATATGTCTGAAGATTTTTGAAAGCTGTCTATTCTTAGTTATACAAATGTTTTGATCACTTAACATTTTGAACATTTCAGAGATTGATTGGACAATGAACTCATATAAATAATATGAAAAAGTTTTCATTTTTTATGTCAATTAAGAAAGTGGCAGCAAATCTGACGACATTGATAATGTATGTTTCATATCCTTTGTTTGGGACATTTAGAGGATCTGTTGTACTTTATGTTAAATCAGCTAAAAAAATTGTACAGTAATTAGTCACATCATTGAAACTGTCAATATTTTCGTAAGGTATGTCTCAGAAGTAGGTTAATTATCAAACAAATTAATCAAAAGATTTTTGTAACTTCCTTCTTGTAATGCTTATTGATAATATTGTAATAATAAATATTGGCACATAAGAAATTTTTGTAGAAAGGAGTCTTGAAGTGTTTGAATGAAGTCTAAACTATGACTGACCTTTGATCGTTAATGCTTACGGCTGATGTCTCTCTACGGTGGATAAATTTGTGATTTTATAACTGACAGTTTTGGCCCACGAAAGAATAGTGCATTGTTGACTGGAATAGTTTATTGCTCGATTTAGACGGTCACCTGGACACTTGTTTTAATAGTACTACTGTATAGACGATTTGAATAACAACACAATCAGCTAGAAAACAACGGGTTCATACCTATTCAAGATGCAAATGATTGACACGAGTGAACGAACACGAATCGGATCGGGGGGACACTTTTACTCCAAGTTTCCGGTTGCGGTCACTCGCGCCAAAAAAATCTCCGGCAAAAATAGACACTCGAAAAAACCCTCAGTTCGACCTGTGTTTAAGTCTGTTGTGCGCCCTGCCTTGTTTCCAAACAAACAAAACAGTTGCAACCATATATTGAAGCTTAGAGTGAAATTACATCTGCACTCAGCTGATAAGCATATGACTATAAATGCACTACTAACATACTGAGAAAAATAACAATATTATTATTAAATTTAAGATATAGGGCCACCCATAATCTTCTCATCGGTTTCTACGTTCTTAAAGAACGAAAATCTTCCCGGTCTCTTCTCAATATAACTTTCCATTTTCGGGTTTTCCCTGGGTAGCAGGTGCATCTTCTAATGCATTGTGGGAAGGAAAATTAATAAACAAAGGCAATGGCCGCTGCTAAGGAAGGAGAGGAAAAGGTGGAAGTCCTCAATTATAAGGACTCGTTCCATCCTTGCCACGTCTTGGAGACCCTCAAGAGACTTTATATGAAAAAAGAACTTTGTGATGTGGTGCTTGTTGTAGATGAAGAAGAAATCAAAGCTCACCGCGTGGTTTTAGCGGCCAATAGTGCTTACTTCTATTCAATGTTTACAACGGACATGTGCGAAAGTGTTCAGAAAAGGATCTCCCTCAAAGGTATAGAGTTCGAAGCTGTGGAGCTTTTAGTCAACTTTTGCTACACTTCGTCAATAAAGATTACGGAAAAAAATGTGCAGAACCTTTTGTCCGTGTCGAATTTACTACAGTTCAACACAGTCATCGAATCGTGTTGCGGGTTCTTGAAGAACCAGCTGCACCCCTCGAACTGTTTGGGAATTGGTAATTTCGCCGACCATCATGGCTTTTCTGATCTTCAAAATGCCGCCCAGTGCTACGCTGAAAAACACTTCCTTGAGGTAATCAAGTCTGAGGAATTTCTAAACGCGACGTTCGAACAAATTGCAGCCATGTTGAAAAGTGATTACCTAGATATAGCGAGCGAAAAAGAGGTTTTCGACTCTGTTATTCAATGGATTACACATGATGAATCAAGGAGGAGGCGACATTTGCCGGAATTTCTTAAAGACATCAGATTGACGTTGCTCCCGCCAAAAATTTTAGGTAAGCAAGCATTAACTCACTAAATATCTGATAAGTAATAACAAGGTTATGTTAAATAATTAACAAAATAAAATAATAATAATAAAAAAAAATTTACTCACTTATTTTGTTTATTTTGTCCTGCCTGAGTGAACGTGTCTTTTCCGGCTTTCTCACATGATCGATTTTTGAACTTCAAACTTCTCAGTCTATTTAAAAAAGCCATTTCAGTTGAAAGTTTCAAAAGAGCAGATCTTTCTTTTTTTATATTTAGGTGATTATTAATTTTCTTCAGAAAATGAAACTCTCATGACTTGAATAAATATTGAAAAAAATTATGTTTCGGATCAGAAGTTACACCTTCTGCCCACAAAAGTGACGCTTGATGTTACAAAGATTTTCACTTTTCTTTGCTACTTGATCTTGAAAAGTGAAAACTGACAAAAAGCATAGTTGTTTGCAAAGGTGAGTGAGAAAAGGAAGTAAATGAGAAATTGTTCCCTTATATTAAATATTATAGTTTGTTTACATTTAAGCACTGAACCGAATACACCTATTATTGATATCAGGACATAATAAGTTACTGTAAAATTATAATAAATTATATTCAAATATCACTACTGATACTATAATAATACTGATACAATAATTCATCATTTTACCCTCGACTAACTGTTAGGCAAGGGTGAAGAATGTCAAGTAGATTCCATTGGTTTTTATGACGCCTCCTCACCCACTCCCACACTGGGAATATTTCCAGGAAAGGTTCATGCCAGACTAGGTTCCACAGAGGTTCCATTATTACCTTTCGTGGAGTGGGTATAGATGACTTGTCAAATAAAAAAAAAATGTGCTTATTTCCTTATCTGACAAAAATAATGAGACATGTACACACAGGCTGCAGACAGTTATCATCTATAAATTAATTTCTAAGTGAGTCCATCCACCCACATATATACATTTTTTCTAATAATTATAAAATTGTTCCAGGTAATTTGCCTTCAACCCTCTTCCCACTTCCAAGATAAAGTTCATAGTACTATAAATCCCATCCACCTCAAAAGAAAAAAATAGAAAGTTTCTGCATGCATTACTTGTTATTTGTCATTTCAGTTGACTGTATAGAAAGTGAAAAGCTGGTTGAAAGTAATGATACTTGCATGAGGTTAATCAGTGAAGCAAAGAACTATCATCTGCTACCTGAGAGAAGAGAGAAAGTGCCCTTTGTCTCCCAGGCGAGGCAAAAGGCACATGGAACAATGATATATATTGTTGGTGGTGAAATACACAACAGAGTGTTCAACAATGTTAGGAGATTCAATTTTGAGACCAATGTCTGGGATGAGGTGGCCCCAATGAACAAACATCGTGATGGTGTAGGGGTGACAGTTTATAGTGGACATATATATGCTGCAGGAGGTAAGATTGTTCCAAGACTTTCTTAGGGATTCAGATACTCCATCCTCTTTAGGCTATTCTCCACAACAGCTACGTGAGGGGAGAGGGAGCGCCTGCCAGGTGCTCTCTCTCCCTTAGCATGTCTCCCTTTGACACATGGTATTTGCAGCTTTCATCTCAAAACTTTGTGGTCAACCAAACATGAATGCTACCGGCTATGTAGATCACCATGATCAATTCTCAAGTGTGAAATGTCTGCTATCTCTTCGCCCTACCCTACTGAGGGGCAAGGGAACAGTTGACACTTTGAACTAGTAAGACCTCTATTCCAAAAAATTTCCTGGACATAATTTGGGAATTTTTAGCTGAACAGTGTGTAATAACAATTTTTTAGACTAACCAATTCACACCATACTAAAATATTTCTCAAGGTTGTGACGGCGATGTAGCTCTCAGCTCTGTCGAATGTTATCACCAGGCTACAGACAAGTGGACATACGTTCAACCCATGGCATGTGGAAGACATGCCTTTGGTCTGGTAGAGTTGGATGGTTGGCTCTATGCATCAGGAGGCAGTGATTTCTCACGTTCTGAATACAACAGTTTGGAACGCTATGATCCAGTCAAGTTAGTATCATCACAGGGTTCATGGGAACATGTAACTCAAACTTACAATATACTGTTGTGCCTTTACTTTGAAAAAAAAAAAAGAAATGATTACACAAAATGTTACTCTGAGCAACGCATCGGAAGGAAAACACAAAAAGTGGAGCAAAAATGTAAATTGTAATTTGTTTACCCATCGAGCACAAAGGAGTTCATAAGAACTCGTTGAAACGTGTCCGTGCGTTCCAGATCAAATTGGAATTTGAAAGTGTTGGTTTTAGGAGAGGGGAAAACCAGAGTACCCGGAGAAAAACCTCTCAGAGCAAGGGACAGAACTAACAACAAACTCAACACACATATTTGTCTCATTCTTAAATAGGGTCAGGGTTTAAGATGCTGGGTGGCACACAGCCATCCAAAATTTATGAGAGTACCCCCTCCCCGAGGTTATGTCTATTAAGTCAAGGGATTTAAGTGGGTGGGGGTATGCATAACATAGCTGACTGTAATCCTCAGGGTTTCAACTTATTGATGAATGATTTGACTAAAAATACTGGAATCCTTCAGTATATTGTTTTCTTCTTCAAATTATGGCTGCTACATCACTGGGATTAGAAAAGATCGAGAAAGACGAGAGGAATTTTTGTAGAAGCAGTCAAATGATTCCACCTTGATCACTGCTTATCACTACCCTGTGGGAATCTTTGTGCTTTGTCTTACACTAGTAAGGCTTTCTCAGTTATTTAGTGCTCGTGGCTGGGCTTCAAGAATTGCTCATGTGGCTCACTGCATTTCTTTGAAAAGTGCTCACCCACATTGCCAAACTAAGAAACTAAACAAGTTCTTAGGACTTTCCCCCTCTCCCTTTTCTAGATGATAAGGATATCAGAAAGACTGTACAGGCTCTTTCTCTTCTCATATTGTTAATCTGTTTAAAAAAGTTAGCTCATATCATCTCCTTCTTCCTGTCCTTGCATATTGAAATAACTTGTTCTTTTAATTTTTCCATTTTGTTGATAATTGCCCCACCCACCCTTTTGTTAGAAATTGCCCTGACACTTAATTCAAGTGGTTAGATGATGCAAAAGTTAAACTTTTTTTCTGCTCAGAAAAATATAATTTGGGAATTTTCCACAAATTTTCAAGGCAGACCATTTTTATGAGAATTTTCAGGGCTGTCAGTAAGACTTCTAGTTTCCAGGTATTTATGTTACAGGTCAAAATTAAATCCAGGTTAAAATTTGTTAACTTATGTTGATCAACAATTTCCTTTGTCTCCTAGCCTTAATTATTCATCAATTAGGGCTAGGAGACAATTAAGGTAATTGAGAATCAACCTAGGTTAAAGAATTTTAACCTGAATTTAATTTTGGCTAGTAACATATACATTATTAGTAGGTGAGGAGGTTTTTTTGGGTACATTTTTCTTTTGTTTCCTAATTATGAAAGTAGCCAGGGGTCATCCTCATAGTAACTGGGGGAAATCCCCAGTTCCATGCCCTTAGTGACAGCCCTGATTCTCATAATTATACTATTTCATTCAGTCTTTATTGCACCAGTAATGACCACAGGCTAATACCTCTTTTCAGAGATGTATGGACTCACATGAAACCCATGAGCACAATGCGAGAGGAGGTTGCTATGGTGACCCTAGATGGAGCTATTTATGCCATTGGAGGTGACAATGGGGTATCCATACTTAACACAGCTGAAAGGTATGATCCAAGGCTAGATCAATGGAGTGCTTGTGTTCCCATGAGTTACAGAAGGAGATACTTTGGAGCAGCAGTACTAAAGGGCAAGATTTTTGTTCTTGGAGGAAGCGACTATGATGAGGATCACAATTCTGTGGAGTGCTTTGATCCTCGAATGAACAGGTGGCTATCACTTCCTCCCATGTTGACGCGCCGTGAAAGCCCAGGTGTTGTAGCAATTGATGACAAACTATATGCTATGGGCGGTGCTTGCGTGAATGTTGAAACAGAGCAGATTGATTGTTATGATCCTTTAAGTAACAAGTGGGAGGAGTTTACACCACTGCCATTAGCCATAGAAGGAATGGGTGTAGCTGTAATGTGATATCAAGTAGAACTTCCAATAATTAAAACTAACTGTACAGTACATAACTACAATGTTGGTGGTATACGTTCAGTTTTAGTTGTCATTTGCAATAATTGGGTTTGCTTTACAAAGGTTGATATTTAGTTACTGATATAAAAAATTGCATTTAGTTCTCATGGAAGTGAGGGGAACTTAGCCACCCTTAATGCTTGGATATAGATAATTTTTGAGTCAGTCACGGGGAAGTCACATTAATTAACAGATTTTTATCATAAAATATAGAAAAACGTAGACAGCATAATTTATTATAAGAAAAGTATATTTATTACTGTTTTTTTCATAAGAGAGGTAACCTCTAAATTTAACTTAATATATTATCTGCTAGTCTGAAGTAAATTGTAACAAAAAAAATAATAACATAATTTATGAAATGGATTATATTGTTCCAAGGGGAAATAAAAAAAATCAGTTTGTTCTTGGTAGCTGTTTATGTTGTGAATAGTAATATTGAAGAAAACATCTGGCTGGAAAATAAAAATAACCTAATTGGAAAAGAAAAAATGCCACAGTTTACTGTTTAGGGTTTTGCTCATACAGATACTACATTACTTTGCTGTTGCAAACTTCTATATTTATGTTCCCTGTTTTTCTTATTCAGTAGTATACTGTACACCAAATTGTTTTTTAAATTCATTTTGCTTATTTTCATCATGACAATATTACTAGTAACTTTGATCACTAAAAGCAGGGCTGTCATTAAGAGGCGGGTGCCAGGGATTTCCCCCAGCTACTACTCTGCCTACTTTCATAGGAAAATAGAAGGAAAATAATTATAACCAAAAGAAACCCCTAGCTGTTTGATTCCCCACCTACTAGTTGTATTTACCGGTACCCTGCAACTTGAAATCTTAGCAACAATCCTGATTATAAGTCACCTAAAAGTAATTATTATTCATTCAAAATATTTCCCCAATTCTGATTGGCTAAAAGCACACGCATAATTCACCATAACCAGTTACTGATGACCAAATTTGGAAGAATTTTGTGTTTAATGAGGAAATGATGTCAAAAATGGAGCCTTCTACAGGTTAATGCACCGTTGAGTTGTTTTCGTTGTAAAAACTAAAATGGCGGACACTTCACTAGTTTCAAGAGTAAGAACTACAGCTGGAACTAGGCGAAATAATGGCTTAAAACATAGTAAAACAGCAAGAAGACAACTCGGAGGGCGACATCTGCTATTTGGAGAATATTTGCAGAGCTGGACAAACCTAAATGCAAACTATCGAAGATAAACTTAACATCGATGCAGGTGAGCTTGTTTTTAGCTATGTTTTTAAACTAGGAATTATTTCGAATGACTAATAAAACAATTATTGGATTAGGCATTCGTATCATATGAAGAATTATGGAGATCTCGGAGGGTGTTATCCGCCTAGGCCATAACACCCTCCTCGATCTCCACAATACTTCATAAGATACTCAGGCTCATTCATTAATTGTTAAATAAATGAAAATTATAATCATTGCAAGCAGGCAACTGTATAAATCCAAAACAACAACAACAACAACTGAATATCTTGTAATTTACATAATTTGAACAACTATTATTTTTCTCTCTTCATGAACCCTATTTTTTTCCTTTGTGGAATGCTTGAATCAACATATAGTGTAAGTGTTACCAATACTATATCTTCAGAAAATATCAATGCAGGTAAATGTAGAACCACAACAATTTTTTTGAGCCTCATTATGTCATTGTTAGTAACTGTATCTCTAGTATGTACACAATTTTTATCCATTGTCTTATGTTCTCTTCTTGCGTTGACGTCCAGATGGTCCAGGCTCTCCTGAAGGTCCTGCACTACTTTCACCTAGAATGCAAAAGGAAATACAGAGAAGTGAAACCTGTTAAGCTCTATTTAAATTCATCTAAAAAGATGAGCATGGAGGAAGGTGCTTGAAAGGCTGGTGGAGTCACAGCCTACGTGTAGCTGCACCCTCTCCCTGAAGAAGGAAAAACTCAGGGAGAGGGTGTGGCTACACATAGGCTAGTGGAGCCATGAAATTCAGCCAAGAGCAACAAATAACCATGACAACTCTATGTGTGGCATCCAACTGAGCTCTCACGAGCTTGATGGGGAAAGGGCCCACCATAAGGCAAGGTGAACATAAAGGCCTGACCTCAGCTGAAAAGCTGTAAAAACCCAAAGGCCCCTGCAAAGCCATATGTGTGCGCCTGAATATCACATCTGAGAGACTGCCGGCCAGCATTGTCTTGAGTTTAACTCAGTCTAAATTTCTTTTAGCAACATGAAGTAAAGAAAAGTGATAACGTCACAAAGAATAAATTAAATATTAGAATTCTTACTCACCATTTAATTGTTGTGACGCAGGTGATGTTGGTAATTGGGGAATCTGGTGCATCCACACAGCACCACAATGTGGATTGGGGCAATTTTTTTGTGCCCTGAGAGAAAACAACAATGAGTTACATAGTTTTATACCTACACATAACCACTTGGTTACTTTCTTGGAATGTTACATTGCAGAGAACTTTGACTCGAGCTACAGTATTCTCCCCCCCAAAAAACAAAAACAACAACTTAAAGGAACAGCAACAACAAAACGTGTAAAGTACTACTTGAGAAAGTTAAAGGGGCTATGTCACCCAACACGCATGCGCGAGCCAATGAAAACAAACTTGAAAAAGACGGCCCAACTTTTTCAAGTTGTGTCGGAGATTTTGGAAGGCTGTTTTTATCTGTCTAAATCTCAGCCATCGTTCGATAGTTAGCGAAGTTTTGTATTAAGAATCGTTCTATGGTGATTACAGAACAATTTTTTGGCGTTATTTTAAAATTGTTTGCCTGTGGAATGTTTTTACGTGGATTTACTGTGTCCTCTTATCAGCGGCCGTTGTAATGGCAGAGTTAATGATGGCTACTCCACAATGAGTGATGGAATCTTCCCTATAGTTCACAGGACCTTTCTATTGAGTTATTTTAGAGGCTGCTCGCTCTTGGATTTTTCTTGTGCTCAAAGTATGTGGACATATAATGAAGCGGCTATCGAGTTGGCGGCGGCCGTTTTTTGTAAACGATTACAAGAGCATCAGGCCATGAGTTTCGTGACGAAGGAAACATTCTAAAATTCGGCTAGATTCCTTCTTGTATTTATCTCGATTCACGGCAAAGATAAACACGACCGTTTGCTCGTCCAGATTGTTCTCAACGGACTTAGAGAGGCACCTTAGTACGAGTTAGATCCTGTAAATGCCATGTTTTTGAACTGTTTGTGTTCGAGCATAATTTTGGAAAATAGCAGAGTTTACATTCCCTTTTTATCAACGGACTGCTTATAGTGGAGTAGTATACCAATGATGCTGGGTTCTGTTTTCTCGACGTCGCAGTGATTCGGCACGATCGAACAATTTTGTGCGATAATGTATGTTTCCCTAAGATCAAAACAAAGACTTGGTCTCTTGTTCTATCAGCATCTAAATTATAAAATCAATAGCGACAGACAAGTCTAATTGTTAATGATTTGAAACAGTCTTGGTCTTTATCTTCGGTCTAGCGTCTTTTGTAGCTCGTTTGTAAAATACAACTTCCATTTATTTTGTTGAATAAGACAATATGTTGTTATTGAATTTTTGTTTGCGCTCAATTTTATGAATGGCATGCGTTTTTACTTCAAAACTACAAGTAAAATTGTCGTCACAATTTTATTCTTGATCTAGCATAACCAGAGAAGAAACGTTCCATAAATTCTATCGAAATATCCCTTATCTAAACCCATTTCGCTTGTTAACCTCTCTAAATTCGGAACCTTGGACGTGATGGAGAACATGAAGAAAGTCACGCATTAAAAACAATAGAATTTTGACAGTTGAAAGTAATTTGCATAACCTCAGAGCGCACATGGAGAAAGTCACGCATTAAAAACAATAGAATTTTGACAGTTGAAAGTAATTTGCATAACCTCAGAGCGCATGCTCTCCAGCTGACATAGCCCCTTTAAGTGGAGTTGAGTTAAGGCACTAAAAGATCAAAAAGATGAACTCTGCAGGATGATTGAAAACATTTCAATGCTTTAAAGTTCCGATATTTTTTCCATGCTGAATTATTAAGAAGTCAAGGTAGTCAGGCAGTTTAATAACTCAACCAACCAGTGTTATCAAGTTTTGGGACAATTTTGGTCTTGAATGCATGATTTGTGATGGTTTTTTACCTTCCTTGAAAGTAGCGAGCAGCACAACGTTTATGAATCTTGCCATCACACTGAGTACAACACTGGCCCTAAACAATAAACAGTCAAAGTTAACACCCATAACATCAATTTGTGGATGGATGTGAGTTAGGATGATGTTCACTTTTAGGCTAGATCCAAAAAACACTTTTTTACTAACCTTGATAGCTATTGTATGACACATCATGCAATCTACTATGTCATCTTCATACACCCTTTTTAAGTATGGATGAAGCTCTAACATGGCCCTTGGTCCCAAAGAGTACGACCCAGTAGACTAAAAACAGAATATCAAAGTTGTGTTTCACTATTCTGAACTAGAAATACATTTAGCGCAAAACCTTGCAAAACTCAGTGTGGCGCTCAAGTTAAGCCCTGCTGGGTGGGGTTAAGAACTGGTTGGGTGACCAATCATGAATATCCTGTTATAAGAACCTGGGGGAAGCATATGAAAGTGATGGGGATGCTCGTCGTCTCGCTTAGGGGTGTAGTTGAGATTATAAAATTGAAAGATGAACTCTTAGTTTTGAAAATAGAACACATGGATTGATTGAATTACATTGGAATGATGGACATTGTATTACAGCATTTAAGTAAAGCTTAAACAATTTTATTTCATTCTGCTTATATTACTCGAGTGTTATATTCAATAAATGAATTCATAGAGATACCAGAGATGGCAGAAAGAAGAGGACAGCAAAACGCTTGTGTGTGACAAATGTGACAGGGCTATTTAACAATAATATTTCTCGAGCCCGAATGGGCTCTGAGTCAATAGCCCATGAGGCCGAAAGATCTGTTTAAAGGAAGGTGAATTGAAAGTTTGGTGGAAAGTTTTTTCAAAACAAAATTACAAAATTGTCACACTTGTTACACAAGGTTTGCCGTCTTCTTTCCTCTCCTGTCCTGTTGCATAAGTTCACTATTATTAGTGGCCTGCATACATAGAAGTGCTTAGCAGGTATTATGTTGAAGATTGGGATCAAAAAAGAATCAAACAACATTGTAGTAGCAATACTACCAGGTGCTGGAATACGCTCCAGCTATATTGGCTTCATTGGACCAAGGCCAAAGGGTACTCTTACATTTTTTCATATTTCCCTACACTGTTTGAATCTCAAATACTAACCTCTGACATCCATTGGTCTTTAACAAGCCTTCTCAGGAGTTCCTCAGCCCGAGTGATGTTAATCCTTTTTTCCAAGTCTGGCCCAATGTTCATTGCCTCCAATGAGGACACTGTGCCATCTGTAGATGTGACAATTGCATCCATCTATGTTGTAAAAATATAGCCTTTCAGTATGTAGGGCTTGCTTACAATAGACTTGTTTGTGGTATTACACTCTTATGATAAAAAATACAGGTTTGTTGTACTCTACCACTTTCTTGAAGAATGTGATTTCATTCGGTGAAAAATCAGTTGCCATTTTAGAATGCTCGTCCTCAGCTGTGTTGACCTAAAAAATATTATAACAGACAAAAGCATTTACTAAAAAATTTACATGCTTTAATAAAGTATTTCATATTAACTCTTTTTAAACACAAATAAGGTTACACAAGCAATAATACTTAAAGTATTTTTACTGCCCCTAGATAGGCATTTTGTCTATAGGTTACCCAATAACAATAACACACCTAGGTGCATAGGGAGAGATGGAGTTAAGAAACCCAGCTTGCTTGATGCTACTGTAATACATTAATAATGTATTTCATGAGCCAAGAACCTTTTACACCCAGGCATTATTAATCACTGTTGAGAACTGTTTTTCTGGCTTTGCTGTCATAAAATGTGACTCCAAACCACGTAAAATACTTTTGCTTTTATGTAAGTCTGTGTTCAGAATGAAACATTTTCTTTTCTAACGAATTCTTTTTGCTTTATTCTGTACAGCCCTTTCTCTGAAAACAAAACAAAACACTGCTTTCCTATCTGGCAACATAGGGCCTGTTTACATGCAGGCTGGGTAATCCTGTTTGAAAGATTAAGAGACATGTAACTCCCTTTTAAACAAGAAGGGTTGACATTTCCAGGGATGTTACCAGTAATCCAGTGCTTGCCGAGCTGTAGACAACTGAAATGCCAGAAAAACAAGGTATTTTGGCCATGGACTTAATTTTACTGAGCTTTTCAGTTTTGGGGCTTTTGCATGGTTAATGGCAACATTGTCTATATTTTTATCATTTAGTACACCTACAGCAATAAACTGATCACCAAAGACATGAGACTACTAGGAGGTCAGGGAGTGGGGGTGACTTTTAGGCGTCTGATTGAAGGTCAAATGCAAAAATGAGTGATAGCAGCTACAAATGCATGTGATAAGATTGAGTTCGATGCGTTCCACTCATTCTTAGTGGAATTCCAAACGAATGCTGCCTCCATGGGTATAGCAATATGAGATTACATGTGTAAGATATTGGAAGCTTCTCTTGTTGCCCACTAATGGCTGGTTTTCACTAGCGATGGAGTCAGAGTCATACTCAGAAGCGTAGAGCTTATGATCTAGTGGAAACAGCGTTCCGATTCCGTTGCTTAAGTTTCACTTACGATCTAGTGAAAACCAGATTGTCGGAGTTGGAAGCAGAAGCAGAAGAACCAAACCAATCACAAAGTGTGGGAAAGTGCATTGTGATTGGTTTATCCTTCCACTTCTGCTTCTGTCTCCGACAATCTGGTTTTCACTAGATCATAAGCGGAACGTAAGCGGAGTCGGAAGAAATGGAAACGTTCTGATTCTTCTGACTCCGATTCTGTCACGCTCATGACTCCGCTTACGACTCTGATTTTTTATTTTCACAAGGTCATAAGCGCTCTTACAACTCCGACTCTGTCGCTAGTGAAAACCAGCCTAAATAGAGCAGGGTCACCTTTCTAGAGGGGAAAGGTTACCATTTCTCCATGTAAACAGGGTCTTGGTCATCTCAATTAAGCCCAAAGTCAAGATCATTTACAGCTGTTATCAAGTAGGCTCATTATGGCCCGAGTGACCAGGGGTGCTTTCTATTTACCAAACACTTTCCATCGAGTGAAGAATGCTTTCTATTTGACATAAGTTCCATTCTTTCATGCTCTTGTGACCAAAATTCAAGGTGGTGACACAGATATCGCTGTGAATAGCCTGGAACTGGTGATTCCTTGTAAAAACTTGTGAATGACTACCTTTTCAAAATCCCACTTAATACCTGGAATTTTTTAGTCGAACGCATGGAAAATGTGTGTTCCGTTAACATCCCAACTGGAATTTCTTGGTGAATGGAAAGCGCCCCAGATTACTGCTTTGTTGACTTGTCCTTACCAATCCATAGTGTACAGCTCCACTATCTTCTGAAATTCCTTGTCTGATCTCCATGTCCAGAGATCTTAGGTTTTTATTTACTGCTTCCACAAAGTTCACGAAGTTTTCAGGCGCACCGTCATCTGAAAAAATTAAAAAGTCACGTACTATCTGAAAACTAACATCATTTGGATACATAACACTAGCTACATGCGCTGTTCGACGAGTACATGTATCGCTCGCTAAAGCGATAACAGGTCAAACTGTCGTGCCAGCCTATTTACAACTTATTTTTTGTAATCTGTTAATCCCTGGAAGCTCTATATCTTCTACTATCGTTCTCAGAACTGCAACAAATCGATGTACGTTGAAGGAGGAGAAAACTTTGTCACCAAGGAGAGAGAAAGCGAGCTGCGGGTGCGACGATTCAGCAACTATCGAGTTGGAGCAACGCTTTGACTCACCTCCAAACGCATTGCAGGCCTTTCGGTACATGTTTATTGTTTCCTTTTCGGAAAGGAACTGCTTGGACATAAGACTTCGAAGGAAAAGGCGTTGGGATTCTCTCATTTTCGCAAGAAATGCAAGTTTTCAAATAATACCACCTCGCTCTTGCTCATATATGGCGGGAAAACGTCCTGTTGGCGCTCCAAGGCATCAAGGGAATCCCCTCATCCGGGATATGGGCCAAATTAACTTGGTACCAGTCCCTCGTAGCGTGCGGATAAGAAAGCGAGCGTGCCAAGATGGCGGCGAACAAGACGCAGTCCGCTTCTGCCACGAATGCTCCTGCATATGAAGTCCCTAATTGGTAAGACTTTGTAAATTGTTGTTTTTATGTTTGAAATTTTGACTCAACGAGACGCGGTATTTGCAACAGGGCAGGAAAACCGCCTCAGGGACTCCATTTAGATGTCATGAAACAGACGACTTTAGTGGAGGTAAAAGTTAATCAAAACATTAACTCCTTACATATAGAGTGCTTTAAATAGGTTTTTAAGCCTATATTTTGGTTAGTTAAACGGTTCTGGTGAGATTGCTGGTGCAGAGGTCCATATCACTATCTGTTCAGCGCTACACTAGAAGTTTCACGCAATGTATACTAGAAGTAATCCATCCTGTTAATTTTTAATTCACAGGGCCGGGTTGTTCGAAGCTGGGTTAACATAACCCAGGGTTAGTGCGAAATTTGAACTCAGATATGAGAGCTTAAAAAGCAAATTCAGTTTAATTCTCTTTACCTTCAATTCAATGACTCTAACCGGCGCTTGAACAACTGGGCCCTGATTGCTGCATGCACTGTGTGACTTCTTTAATGTAGAGATCATGTGGTACACGACCTTGCCTATATAGGGAACTGGACCCAGTCGTTCAAAAGCTGGATAGTGCTATCCATCGGATAAATCACTATCGAGCAGGTAAGTATTAGGGAAGGCAATTACACTATCCACTGGATAGTGATTTATCTGGTGGATAGTACTATCCACCTTTTAAACAACTGGGGCCTGTAGGCATTTTATAGGCTTTCAAAAAGTCCTTTGTCCAATTTAATATGGCGGGGGATGAAGGACTTTTCATACTTGAATGGCGTCAGTTTTAGCCAAATGTAACCAGAAACCCCAAATGGGAGTCATGCCACTCCACATTTTTGACGCAAAACGCAAACGGAAACCTTTCAAGCGAGACAAGTTGACCTCTCTTGACTTCATTGCTTGCTCGGCTGTTTTGCAGCCTGAAAAGCTCTCTCCAGTAGCTTGGAAACTTGTGAGGTCAACTTGTGACAAGTCTAGGAATTTTACTACACAGCTTCATCAACTGCCAGTTAAATTAATATATTCTAAAGTTAAATTTATTGTGGATGTTACCGAAAATATTTCCTGGAAATGTTAATGTGTGGAGTCAAGGCCTATCAGATGTGTAACTAAACTGAAAGTTTTACACCCTAATGACAGATAATTAGATAATCTTTGTCAGACAGACAATCCATTGAAAACTGGATGGTGTTTCAGTCAAGGTATTAGATCTGTGATGAACCCGTTTGTTTCAATAGTTTATTTCTCAAATAATAAAGAATTTCCTAAAGTAAAACTTACTCAATTATATCAAGTGAGACTTGAGACTGGCTTTCCCTCAATAGGTAGGAATAAAAAATAAACTGGAAACTGTAACTGAAACTTCAGGCGGTCATCAAAAAATCCAAAATGTTCCCTTATTGCCGGGAATTAAAGGGGTTTTTCCTTAACATTATGTGAATAAACCTGACAAGTTTCAGAGTGGTATTGTAAATCCTCATCTTTTTACATCAATTTGTTTTCAGTGTGGTCTAACAGAGCCACAAAATCGCTGTTAATTTCAGTGATTTTGTTACCTCTGCGTCCTGCATCCCTGATGCATAAAAATCCCTAAAGATGCAAAATAATAATATTCATGAAATGCAACCCTTAGGATGCAAAGAATGATTGATTGATTTGAAGATTTTTCGGTAGAATATCCTGTTCATGTGATTTCTGTGGCTGTTGTTTAAAGATTCATATTTATTTTAGACTTTTTTGTGCTTGAAATATATATAGAAGGACCATATTTTAATTTCAATAAACTGTAATAAAGAGTTTTGGCATCTGTCTCCAGAATAACTGTCTGCTTACCTAAAGGCCCAAACACTTTCAATTTAGGACTCCTTGTTTTTTTGAACTGGGAGTCATTGGTTATGGATAGGGACTCATGATTTCTCACAAGATGAGTCCCAGGACTCACCATAACTATTTGTAACAAAATCACCATAATTTGCCCTTAATTTTTGTCACACTATACTGCTTTCTTTGTCGCCATCTTAATTTCTTACAAGTAAACTGCTGATCTTACTGTTTGTTATGACACTAACCTGAAATAAATGTACTCTATTTGGGGAGGCAGAATGTGAGCGAATTTTGCTATATTTCGCTCTAGCTTCCTAAAAACTCTTAACTTTATGTCGCATTTAGGGTGTGAAAATTGCACCATTTCTGTCAACAACGGAAACTATCATGTCAGATTTCAGCGCTTTAATTATGAATATTTCCCAAATAGTGCTTAGATACCAACTTTGGCCTTCATTTTCTGGGCTTCTATTGAACAAAAATGCTTCATTTTTGGAATTTGTGTTCAGGTTAAGAGTACATTTCAAATAAGTGATTTTATAAACATGACCAATTTTTGACTTTGTAGCAGTTCTAATACCTTAAGGTGAAGAATCCTTTGGATTTTATCCATCTTATTGTGATGGATTTTGAAGATGGATTATCTGTCTGACAGGTTATTTGTCTACTCTCTCTTGTGTGTTGGCTATTGGTAATTAATTTCTGTTTTTGTGACTTGTTAGTGTGTCTTGATCCTCTCTGCAACCACCTTATGGTTTTCTTAGCATTTCAGTAACTTTAACTAACAATAGCACAAGAACAGACTGCTAAGCATTTAAGTTGGCTTATGCAGCTAATAATTCTGTGCTAGATCAAAAGTGAGTGAGATTTAGGCATCTGGCAATGAGAAATGTGCTGATGTTATTACTCCTCAGATAGATATTCTTATCTATTAAATTATAGAAAGATAAGTATACAGTACCTCTCAAAAGTAAGTTGCCACCCTCTGGCGAGACAAGATTCTTTTTTTGCAAGACAAAAGTCTCACCTCTCTTGCTATCAAACTGTAGTCAAATCAGCTTCTTACAAGTTAAGATGAAATCCATTAGGAAATTGAGTAATTTTAATTTTCAGTGGACAAAAACCTTGTACCGGAATAATTTCAAGAATATTGCATTCTTTTTTACATTTTTCAAGGGCTAAAGATGTAATTAGTAATCTGTAATAACACTAAAGAAAATTTATCATGGGAGTCCGAGATAATGAATGTCAATTTTCACAAGAGTTGTGAAACCACAGATAAAATTCTGAAAATTTCACGTAAAAGATGTAATTTTGTAAAATTAGACATTCTTTTTCTTGGGCTCCCATACGTAATTTTCTTTGGTGTTATTACATCTATAGCCCTTAAAAAATGTAAAAAAGAATGCAGTATGCTTTAAATTATGGTACAAGGTTTTTTTCCACTGAAAATTGAAATTTCTCAATTTCCTGTTTGGTTCCGTCTTAAATTCAAACTACAGTTCAAATCTACTAATTTTAAACATAAACAATGTGAAATCAACCAAGCCACATGACTGTGGAAATGAAGGCAAATGTTTCAGCATGTATTTTCTGGTGATGCACCAAAGTTCCAAGAGTTCTCCATGCCCTTTTGTTGATTAATTCATGGAACGGTAAATCTCTCTTTGGGTTTTAAAGGATATAGTGTAAATGCACAAGTTAACGAAAAATGGTGTTTTTCCTTGCAAGAAAAGAGGCAAGACTGTACTTAACTTTTGGCCAGTATAAACATAAATGTATTTTAAAGTACTGTATTAAGCAGCGCTTGCCGATATACCGAGGGTGGCTGCTTAATGTAGGTTCAACTTTATTCTTTGAAACATGATCATGTTCCTAATGCAAAAACTTTCCTGGTTGGCAGAAATTAATCATTGATCAGAAATCCTGCTACTTATTTGGAAGAAACAAGGAAGCTTGTGATTTCTCTTTGGAACATACATCTTGTTCACGAGTCCACGCAGCCCTGGTGTTCCACAGACACCTCAATCGATCCTTTTTGGTTGATCTCAAGAGTAGTAAGTGATTTTCATTTGTTATGTTTTATTTTTAGAAACCAGATGGCTTTTCATAAGGGCCATGGCTAGGAGTTTGCCTGGCTGTTAGAAATGTGAGTCCTTAGACAGGATTTACAAGAATGGTGCTTTTCTCCTTCATGATCTGTTTATTACATGAAGTAGCTTAGGCTCAGTTCAAACAACAAATTTCTCATGTATTGAACTTAGTAATCATTTGAATCGACCCAAATTAGATAAAAAGGACAAAAATGGTGGGTTTCTCCTTCATGACCCTTTTATTACATGTAGCAACAACTTAGGCACAGTTCAAATGTCGAACTTCTCATGTACCGAACTTAATACAACACACAATGTACCTATTTGGGTCTACCCAAATAATTAGATAAGTTCTCGCATTGATTTAGATGTTGAACTTAACAAGTCAGACTCAATTTATTTTCATGATGTTCAATGGTGTACAATGCTTACTAGTTTATTTATTCTTTAGATTCAGCACCTGAAAAGTTTTATGGTTGAAACAAAATCACTCCACAGTCAAAATTCCCGTGTGGTCCTCTTGAACATAATACATGGATTGACCCACATTAGAGATTTTGCACCTAATTGAATCAAATGTCCATCTCTTCATGTACCATATTGAAGGAATTAGGTTCAGTAATGAAAAGTTTGATGCTTAAACTGGACCTTAGAGTATCACCTGTCCTCTGTTGATGGAATGTTTTCCTATTGCATGGTACCTTTAATTTTGCAAAGTTTTAGGAGTGTATGCAGTGAGCACTGCAACTTTTATGATTTTAATTAAAAGATAATTGGCTTTGCTATTTGTGGGAGATGCTGGTGGACCCCAATGGTTTGGGATATCAATACACTGTCAATATGAATATTTTTGGCTTTGTTTACTTGTAAGGAAGTCAAGACATTTATGCGTAAGAGGTGATAATAAAAAAAGGAGATATCAGATACGTGTCACTGTATAAGAGTTTACTTCTCTATTACAGTATCTTGTAACTTAATGACTCAGACTGACATCTGTTTTGTTTTTGTTACGTTAACTTTTTCAGCACATGGAACTTTTATTGGGACAATACGGTTAGAGCCACACAAACCAACTCAAGTTCAGGTTGATAGTGTGATCAGGTTTGGTGCATCTTCTAGAAGTTATGTTCTGCGAGAAAAACCAACAATGCCTAATACTGCTCTGAAGTCAGAGAATGTGTCAGAAAATATGCAGCAAGATGATGAGGAGGGTTCAAAGGGAGGGCTGTTGGGGCTCCCTGAATCAGATACTGAGCTAGATGTGAGTAGCGATTTTTTAACGCTGCATTCACTTACATAGTTTTACTGCGCTTTTCAAAAACACCTGAATTCTGAATTTTAAAAGCCAGCTAACATTAGCATCCTTCACTGCTGTCAATCTTCTTAGTGGGGCTCTTAGGAAACTTGCAATTTTTGATTGGTAGTTTTCAATCCGTTTTGTATTCTTCTGAGTTTCAAGGTTCATTGCTTGTGATTATAATTATCATTGATGGCAGCAAAAACTGCTTGGCTTGTAAAGTTCAGAGTTTGTGTGTTATTGAAAAGCACAGTTATGTAATGACATATATGTAAGAATGGATTTAAAAAAGGGAATTTTGAATCACTGTTTCCTAAATTGTAGTCAACAGTTACGGGCACCTTACAAAATTTGACTTATTGATGGACTCAAGCAAAACTGACAACAATATAATGACTGTAAAACCGACAGTATGACCGTCAATAAATGACTGTTATAATTTTGACATGAGGCAGATCAAAATACAACAAATTGCATTTAGAGTCTTCATAGCCAAGAACATCATGGCTTAACTGACAGGACCAATGACATTGAGACTTAATTGACCAATCAGGTCAATTACCAGTGTTGAAGACCATTGATTAATGTGAAACAACTCAGCTTGACTTGTATCTTACTGTTATTTAATGGCCAATCATAAATAGATTATGCAAACACTACTTGGCCATGAGTGCTAATTGCTCTCAGATCTAGATCTGTAGTATCTGTAGTATCGCCACACTGGAGAATGTCCAAGAGCTGTTAAAATTTTGGTCCCAAGATTCTTACTCACTGTATGCCTTCAACCATTACTTAAAGCAAAATACTATTATTGCATGGAAACAGGATCTAACAGAGTTCAACACTGCCCATAATAAAAGGATCACATCACTTGGCATCGAGGAAGGAGGAAATAATTTAGGAGGCGTAACATCCCTAAAACGGAAAAGGAAAAGATCATTATCTGTGGCATTTAGAGAGGGAGAAGAAATTATAAATCCAGGTAACAGTGTTAAATGATAATAATGATTTCTAAAGTGATTCAAGCCTGCTGTCAGTTTGCTGTTACAGTCGAACCTCGATTATCTGGACTTTAAAGGTATTTTTTCCATAGCAGAAAAGGACCACACATTCTAAATTAAATACTTTATTCCCAGAAAGTAATCTGAACTGCCTAGTCATTATGAGTTCACTGGCCCCTATTCAAGACAATACTTTTGATAAAGACACGGAGTCAGAATTTGCAGTCTTGGTGGGCAGTAAAACATAATCTTATAAACAAAAAACTTGACATACACATTTTGTTATTACAGACCCTTTTATTGGGTCAATTAATACATTTTGTGCTTGTGGGAAAGGAGTCCTAAAATTATGCATTCTTTGTGATTTGGGTCTTAATTGGCCAGTTTACAGTCATATAATGTTTGAAAATAATTTGAAACTGTTTGTGCTTGCCTCAAATGTGCAAAACTTAGCACAATTAGAGTGTTATTAAGTTATGATGACAATGCTGGACTTACCAGGGTTTGCAAATTTTATTGATGAGTGGAGTCGGTGTGACTTCTGCTTCACAAAAATTGAAGTCATTTTGGAATATTTGGAGTCAAGTATCAGACTTTCCTGCAGGTGGTCCCGGCATGTACACACTATTGTGAGGGATACATGAAGTAGCTGTGGCGGTCCGCTGACCTGGAAAGCTCAAATCCATGATGGCGGTCATTGAGTAAACTTTGATCGTAATTTACCCTCTTCCTGTTTTGTTGTGCTTAATTCTTTAATTTCGATGATTTAATTAAGGTTTACAACGTTTACAATTAACTTAAATTGTATTTGTTGCAAAAAAGGAAAGGACAAAACTGTGTTTGTTACCGAAAATTTCTGGAGTCGAAGTGGCTCCCTGTTTGTTACTGAAAATTTTTGGAGTCGAAGTGACTCCCTCCGTAACCTCAGTGGAGTCATCTGAACAAAATTTGGCACGTTTGTGAACCCTGACTTACGTTCTTAAAAAAATATTAGGCATCCTAACAAATGTAAATCCAAACTGTAGTACCTAAATTCTGACAAGACACCCAAGGAAACCACATGAAACCCAAAGATTAGTGTGTTGCTCATTTTATTTTAGCAAAATTCCCATGTACACAATATTTTGTCTCATTTACAATGTTTTTTTGTTATTTCAGAGGATATCGACCCAACTGTTGGCAAATTCAGAAATATGGTCCAGACAACAATTATAGTCCCAACCAAGGTACATTCATTTCAATGCTCTTACAACAATCACAATGTACTTCAGGAGTGCATACAAATGATTAAAATTCATGATAGTTGTGGTGACCCTAGTTGTAGAGAAAAATCTTGAAAAGCTGAGGCTTAAACAAACCTGCAGATAAAGATTATTTTTCTTTTTAGAAAGGCCATTTGACTGGCCAGGTCATATTTTTAGTCGTACCAATCTAAAAATGTTCTGGGACGTACATCAGTTTTTAATTTCTTTAATTACTATGCAAATCTCTTAGCCAAAAAATGGTAGTTTTTTTGTGTCTGATTTGTCCTCCAGAGACATCATGTTTGACTGCAGGTATACTCACATTGTAGAATTGGATATGGGAAAATTTTGGTCAGACATTATTTACTGTTATAAAAATGAGCAGGAGAGCATCATATATTATCCTGATAATACACGACTGCGAGTTTTTTGAACGGCTTCAAAATCTCTGGTATAGATCAACTCATTCTTGCACTAAAATTTAGATTGTTGGTTATTTTGGTCTAAAAAACTGGACGTAAAGTTTGTCTGTGTCTTTCTCAGATATAAAGTCACTCGTTAAACATAAATTTCTTCGGTTTTTTCTTTATGGATTATTAATAAGTTTTTGAAATGACGACCAAGTGTTGTGTACCGTTGTGCTTAAGTGACAGTTAAATCTAATACAAAAGAGTTCATGCGCAACTATCAAACAGATGGAGAGTTGGTCTAAACAAGTTTGTTACGTGTCAAATTATGACGCGTTTGTTAGAAGGGTTGTTTACTCTGAGTAATACTCTAAACCTAGACGAATGTGTAGTTGATGGTCAATGAGAGAACTGAAGATCTTGGAGACTTTTCCCGCATTCTGCTCCACTGAGTACACGCAGTGAAAACAGGTCAAGGTTTGGATGGACAATAATCATTTCATACAAGTCACTGTGTTTTGTTAAACCAAGCCTTGAGTCGGTGCCTTTATTAAAAAAACTTCACGATTTTCACATTGCTCTTAATACATCTTGTTTACCCCCAAAATTTGGCATAAGCATTGTCTTCCACTTCTCTTGGGACGATTTTAATACCCAGGAGAAATTGGAAACAATGGCTATGCAAAATTTGGGGTAGGGGCGGGGGGGGGGTGTTCGAGGTGTTCAATGTGGAAATGGTGAAGCGGAAATGGTCCATCGAACGGTAAGTTGTTCAAAAGTTGGATAATACTATTCACCGGATAAATCTTTATACATTGGATAGCTCAATTTGTTGTTCCCTATACTTATTCACTGTATGGCAATTTATCGAGTGAATGTTGCTATCCACCTTTTGAACAACTGAACTCACAAGTGCAGATTTTTACTTCAAGGCCCTTTTTTTCCACAGAAAATGCGAACTCCAGTTTCCCCAGTGGGAAGTTTAACAGAAAACATAACACGAAGGCTTCAGAGTTTCCCATATTCACAAGGTCTTTACTCTAACCTTCCCGGATCAGGGCCTGTTCCTGAACCTACGAGTCCGACTTCTCCTACCGCTCAGCTTAAACCTCGCGTGTCAATCACTTCAGCGCCCGAAGTGTCCTCACCAACACTTGCTCCCGTACCCATACACCATGCGCCTGAACCAATACCAGCTACTGGAGGGGTTATGCAAGCTGCACCAATGACAATTGTCGAAGCTCCTAAAAAGAAGTATGCCAAGGAAGCGTGGCCGGGCAAGAAACCTGCACCCTCCTTACTCATCTAGCTACTGTATATATATTTATTAGAAAAATTTTAGCATTATATCAAAATTCGAGAAAAGATATTTGCAGATGGAATCCCTGTTTGTAGTCATTCTGTTCCATAGAAAAGTCTTTTACGGATGATTTTAGGACTTGAATTCCTCATTTTACTAATCTCGACCTCAGTTACTGAATGAGACTGATGCTTGGCGGATATTTAACCGTGACAAAGCGTGACACGTGACATGGGTCTCGAATTCGTTACTGGCAGAATCGTTCGAAGTCCTTACCGAGCAAAAACGCCGAAAGTGACGTAGCCTGCGAAAACAGACGTTTCTCCTGAGCGAGGAGAAACGTCTGATTTCGCAGGCTAAAAGTCACGCCCGGAAAAGGCAATCTGGTTTGAGTTCTCTTCATGAAATGCGTTGTATTTCAATCAGACCGAGAAGCGACTTGAAAATGGGGCTTTTCTGCATCATTGTTAATATCCAAAGCAAAAGAGAGAATTGACTGATTATGTCAGTATTCTCCAGTTATTGTTAAGCTTGATGGTTGGAAGAATCTCATTGGTAGAAATTTTATCTTCTTAACTCAAGTAAAAAATAAAACTCTTAGTACTGTAAATGCGTTTCCTTTTAGCCTGGTTCACGCAATAAGCCCAAGCAAAAACGACATACGGACCACGGCTACTTTTTGTTTGTTGTTAGAACTCAGGGGTAGGGTTACATTATGCTGTCTATTCCGTTAGAGTGCACGTGTGTCGTAGGGCGTGTGAATTAGGAAAAAAAAATCAGTGGGCTCATTCTTCTACATTTGGAAATCGCAGAAGTGTTAGCCTGCATAACAGGCGTTATTTTTTTTTGGCGTTTTTCGAGCGAGCGAAGGAAAGTGGGAAGCGAGCGAGGAGCGCTAGACACGCGCGACGGGGGAAGGCGACGTCGCGCGTGTCTAGCCCTCCTCGCTCGTTTCCCGCTTTCCTTAGCTCGCTCGAAAAACGCGAAAAAATAACGCCTGTTATGCGGGCTACAGAGGTGTGAACTAGACACTGGAAAAAAAATTGTAGACAACTGTTAGGGAATGTTTCATCCAGAAATAAACGTCAAATAACGTGGGTGTTGTAGCTGTTGTGGTTCAATTTTGTCCTTTGTTTAAATGTTATTTTTCTTTGGGTATAGAGTACCGATGTTATTTTTCTTTGGGTATGATAAGATATTAGCCCAGTTCCATACAAATCCTTCTAAATTTGGCTTGGTTCATGATAAACCAGGTGAGTTTGAAACAAATCTGGAAAAATTAAATTTAAATCAAGAATAGATAAAATTTCATTTTCTATGAACACACAATAATATGATAATGAGTTTGAAACAAAGGAAAATTAAATTTAAACCAAGGATAAAATTGAAACACAACATAGCCATTTACTGTGAAAGATTTAGTTTTATCAAATGAGTTGGAAAAGTTACTTTGCAACATGTATGGCTCATTTTTTAAAGTTTTCGCCACCCAGCAATTTCTGTGCACTTTGTTGGCTGTTAGCAAAGAGCTGAAATTGCTCTGGTGAACCAGCTTCCTTTAACTTTTGAACTTCATTTCTATCAAGAGCCATAACGACTCTTGTTTCTATACACGACGACACCTTTAAGGCCACGGGGGACGTCTATTAATAAATTTTTAAGGCAAAATTTTGAGTGTGCCACATCTTTTGAACGCTTATATCTCGGTTGTTGTAGAAGTGATTTTTGTGGAATGATGAAAGTTTAGGAGGCTTGTTTTTTATTTGGCAGATCGCGCTTTACGGCGATGCTTTAAGCCCAGTTGTACCAAATTGGGAAATCGTGACTTTGTGTGCAAGATGGCGGAAAGAATAGTACTCTGTGATTTTATTAATAAATGATCAGTCAAAGTGTGTTATTTATAGAGTAGCTTTTACAATTTTAAGCAAGATAAAGTCGTTTAAATGAGCAAAATCTGTCATCCCTGAAATTAACGCCTTATATCTTTGTATTTTGAAATTCCGCTCTATACATGACACACTTCGGTCTACCAAGTTTACCCCTGAGCAGTGCTAGCTTGCATCTGCGCTGAATTCTTGGACTCAAAACTGTCGGAAAAGTCAAATTTTGAGACTCCCGAAGATGTCCCGAGTAAGGGCCTGTTTACATGGAGGTGGGGGACCTCGGGTAGGTGTGGTAACATGTGGTGGGTTACCCCACTAACATGTAAACGTGATGAAATTAAAATGAGAGATCATATGGACAGGCCGGTTGACCCAACTAGGCGGGTCCCTCACCTCCATATAAAAACGCCCTTAAGCACGAGTTGCAAGGAAGGTATGAAATTATATGGTAATTATGGTTAATTACATTCTGCGCTTTAATTTTGTTCATAAGCTGCAATGTTTTCAAGAATTTTGGAGGCCAAAAAAAAGAGAAAAGGAAAAACGTACAAAGAGTTTTGGTATGAAATTTGGTTGAAATTTCTTTAAAGAGTTCCTTATTTTTATCTAATTTAAAATCAGTGAAACAAGGTCTACTACCATTCAGAGCCCGTTGGTTACTTTCGAAGAAACATTTTGTCCATACGTGCACGTGAACATGACGTTAAAGTTTTACCGGACACTTCGTGTTCACACGGAACCGTTCTATATTTTGCGGTATTCACACGGAACTGTCGAACAGTAATATCATGGTAATGTTTCCAAGCAAAGCGCGCGACTGTAGCAATAACGTTCAGGGCGGATAAAGGTTACTCGTACACCCGCTTTGTTATTTTCTTTCCAGCTGAGTAACCACGCAGCCACGCTTTTGCTGTAGAAAAGTTTAGCCGGAAACGGTGTTCACACCTTGCCGTTCAAATTTTCGACCGCACCAGTCAAAAATTCGACCTCGAATTTAGCGTTCGAATTTTTGAACAGCTAAACGTCCAGATTTTCGTAGGGTTAGCGTGGTTCCGTGTGAAAAGAACACCTGACCGTAGGAATTTTCGAACGGTCGAAAATTCGACCAGTAGCGGGTGAACGTAACGTGATTTGTCCTGTGGTGTCGCCTGTTTAGGCTTAAAATCGCCCTGTGGTTCTTTAGTAATTCCCAGGAAAGGCTTGGCAATGTGACAAAGTCAGGTCAACAAATTTCTCCTTCAAGTATAAAACTCTTCTTTATTAGACCTTACACAATTTTTACAATGTGACTTTGAATCATTTTTCGTATTAGATATGAAATTTCCCCCATATTATGAGACTACTGTCAAAAATGTACGGCATAAGATGAGGAATCATTCGGGGAAAAACATCGTTGATGAATAGCGGACTTCAATGTACAGTCGAACCTCTTCTCCCGGCCATCTTTTTAACAACGCCATCCTTTTTTCGTCCCAGCGGATAGACCCTCTTCTAGCTGTTTTGACCTCTCTACGAAGGCCCGTGCACGCTTTGCCCCGCCAAGATAGCTGTGGTTGAGAGGTCAGTTAGACTGTATAACTTGTTTGGCTATCGATGCCATTGGAGACCACAATTGAAAGTAGAAAACTAGCACTGCTAACAAAAACCTAAACCTTGATAGCAATACATGTACAAAGAGCTGTTTCGTTAAACGCGGTTTAAATTTGTTTTCATTAAAAAAATTGCTTACTGTTCTTTTATTGATGGAAAAGTGAGTCCAATTATGTAACATGTCATAGTTCATTTGAATTCTGTGTGAAAGCCTGTGATGTAATTTTCCGCTCTTTTTCTTTTCTATTTTACTCTAGTTTAATTAACTGACATGTCTAGTTGGCGTGAATGGGGCATTAGATAGCCTGCGAGCAAGCTCTCCCTTAAAGGTTATGTTACACGAGACGAGTCGTAACGAACGATTTCAAGCGCAAGACATCGTTGCAATGTTGGAACAATATTGCAACCATTCAAAACAATGTCTTAACATTGCCTAGTCCCTGTACGGCGTTTTCCCAGTCCCTCTCGGTCAATTCGTTTCGGTGACGTATCCGAGGCGAACGGGCGGGAAACATTTTCCCATGGACCACGTGACCCGAAACGCTTTGGCCGCGAGGAAAAATGAGGCCTAGGCACTAGGCAAGTCTTAACAGTGTTGTAATGCTATGTTACACTAAAAATCTTTGATGCGAATCGTCCAGTGTAACATCGCCTTTATGGCGCACTCGCGTCTCCTTTCGCGTGACTTTTCGCGACTCCTCAGATGAAGAGCTTGCTCGCAGGTCAGGCATTAGATTGCCTGTAGCCTGCAGGCGAAGTCAACCCAGGCGTGAGTACAGATGGAAACTGAGCCAGTCGAAACTGAACCAATCAACCCATCACATTGAAACAACCCAAAAAATACTACATCTATTAAATGAATTTTTCGGAAAATTTTTACTCCCTGCTAAGTAAGGAAGTAGGCTCATGTGTATCTACGTTCCTTTGAATATCGACGCACTAATTTTAATTAGCCTGCTTAAGCGTTCAGATAGTGGAGTGTGGCGCGAAGTCAGAGAACGGGAAAAATAAGGAGGAAGTTTTTTTCTATTCGCATCTCTTTGCGCCATCTCTACGATCTGAAATCCTGGAACAGGCTAGATTTCAGTGGTTCGATTATGACACTATTGGCACTTGGGACACCGTTCTTTGGACAAACACCCTGAACGATGAATGTGCTGTAATGATCACTTATTTGTTAAAACAACAATTAAGGTGATAACACCGGCAACCACCAGAAGAATAATGAGTAAAATGCACATCTTGGTTCGGGCCTTTTTCTGTAAAAGAGAATACAAAGATTGTTAAGTGTGATAGTCTTAATTTGAGAAAGTTACTAGACTCGGGAAAAAAATATTCGTCCTGATTTTTCACAAACTTTTAACTGACCGCTAGATTATTTTCCCAGAGAAAATGATTAATACTTTTCGCTTTTTCTTACAGGTCAGAAAAAGTAGCTCTTGTCGACGGATCTCTTAACGACGGCTTAATGATTTTTCCTAGAGTTCCGAATATTTTAAAAGGATTAGGAGAAGATCAAAATCAATCAACCACAAAAAATATTGATGATATAGTATACACAAAACCCCGCGGAAAGCTGAAATTAAAATTATCTGACTTCCTTGACTTTGCCAAGGACCAGACCAAGTTTTTCCTGACTGTTCCCTGACCTTGACGAAATTTAATTTTTTTTTTCGATGAGAAAACCCTTCTTGCTTACTGCTTAAAGTACTGGTATATCACCTGATATAAGCTTGCTTTGCCTAATTGAACATTGGCACCTTCTACATTGGTGGCTGCATGGTCAACATTGGCCTCAATTGAATCTGAAATAAAACCAATCAAACTTTAAGTGTGATAGTGAAATTTGACCACGTCTACAAAGGTAGATAGGATGTTGTTCAAAAGTGAGGATATTTTTCTTAAGATTTTCTATTTCTCCTTACCTTACATATATATGTCTATTCCATTGGGTATATGCAGGGGTGTTACAAAAGCTCATGACATCCCTTATCTCCCGGGTTTTATTAATCTCCGAACACTAAAAACGTTTTCTTACGAAATAGTTAAAGTCTAGTTCGTATATAATGTTCATATATATATATATATATATTTTTATTTTGCCCCGGAAGCTAGAAATGTTTTGGTAATCAGTGTGCCATTTCCGAGTTCGTAAAACTCTCACTTTCAAAACGAGAGTAAGTGCAAAACCTTTCTTTGTGAAAATGAGTTTTATTTGCCTGAGAATAAAAAATTATTTTCATATCAATCACAATGGCTTCGCACTTAGCCTTGCTCTGAAACAGAGCTGGGGGCAACTCGGAAAAGCCAAACTGACAACCAAAACTCTTAACAATAGACAGCTTCAGATTTGAGGACAAGAGAGCCTGTTCCAGGCTCCAAGAGAGTCATGAAAAGTCGCTTTGCTCGTTTTAATACGTCCCCACTATACTATCAGAGCGCCTGGCACAGGCTAAGAACGAGAACAACTACAAGTACGAGATTTAACTGAAAGTTTTTGCCCGTTCTAAAAAAAAGCCACCCCGGAAAGTTTCATTTTACTTTTTTTCACCAAAAAAGTTAGTACGGTTATTTATATTGAGCAGGTTAAGCCCTCTAAATATTCTCGCTAAAACCCGTTGCAGAATGACGACGGCTATCAAGTTTTCCTGCCAAAATGACGCTGGCTCACGCGCGTGCACTACTTTGTATTAAGAAAATCTCGTTCGTCCTCGAATCTAAAGCTCTCTAATGACAGAGTACACATGAGAAAAGAAATTCCTAAACTTTTTAACAGGAAGTAGCTAGTTAACCAAAAGCTAACTAGTTAAATTCGAGGGCACGAAATTTTAAGACACCCTGTACTGACGATTACATAGTACGTACACGTAATATCATTATCATCGTTACTCAAAATTATAAGAAACAACAGTTAAAATAATATCATTTCAAGAAACAAATCTTTCTTAAAATATTATGAAACTAAATGAGGGCAGGTTTCAAAAAAGTGCCATTCTGCTGATGAATGTTCACCCTCCCACTTCTTTTAGCAATGAAACATTATCACTTTCTACGACTAAGTGTTGCTGCCGAACCTTTTTTTAAAAATTACTCTCGTCAGCTTGAGGCATAAAATTAGAATGTTTATCGCAAACGTTATAATATACTGCGATCAAGAAACCTCTGACTTACCAATTACATCACCTTGTTCATAAACCATAGTCGCTAGATCTCTGAATATCTCATTGATATCAAGGATATCACCCTACTTAAACAAACATGTAGAATATTAGAAAAGGAACGCTGTTTAGAGGCTCTTTGCAGTCTTAGATAGAAATAGAATACGTCTGTGATAAAACCTCCAATTTCTCGGGGGAAGAATAAAGTTTGTCGCAGCTTGTATCTGCTGCAAAACGTAATGGAAGATCGAGAAAAAGCAAAGGGCTCTGCAAGTATGAGGGTTCCCCGCCAAAAGACCACACTGGCCAGAATACGTCCACCTTGTTGGTACGACAGTTTTTTTCTGACTAGAAGAGTCGTCTAGCGACCTTTCTGAGAACGTTAACCTCGAATACGATCAAACCGGTATTAACATTGCCTGGTGTATGATGGAGTCCTGTATATCAGCTCTAACTTTTGAGTGTGTAGTTAAAATTCTTTTGTGTGACCATCCACATGAAACCCCTTTGGTAGAACTTTGAACAGGTACAATTTGTTTCAGCTTCAACATTTTACAAAGTGAACGTTCAGGATTAAGAGAAGGTAGAAGTACTCAGGGCGTCTCTTCTTAGACATCGAAATAGATAAACGCGCGCACTGATATGTCTAAGTAAAAACATTCACCCAGGGAGGAAAGTTTCTATTTAAGAGAATGAAGTAGACTGACCTCTATTTGTCTTATTCTATCTTCCCGTTCCCTTATCAGTGATTCATCAATGTCGATCTGCACATTCATCTGTTCCTGTCCCTGCCTGTAGATATGATGATTTAAGGTGGGAACACTCTAGGCAACAAGTTGAAACATCACGTCGCACGCAGCGATAAATCGCTTCGCGTGTACAGTACTGGAGAATTATTGTGAAAAGTTTTGTCTCCGCAAGAAAATTTTGCCGCTGCACAAGTCGCACAATCTCAAATCCGACTAAATTTGTGCGACTTGTTGCGGCGCCAAAATTCTGTTGCTGAGAGAAAGATTTCTACAAAAATTGTCCAGTGCACACGAAGCAATTTGTCGCTGCCAAGTGTCGCGCAACTCGTCGCAGAAACTTAGGGCGGAGCTGTACACAAAAAGAGATTTGTTGCCGCCGTGTGCGTTGCAGCGACATGTTGTCTGGTGTATCCCGATCTTATTTTATGCCTTGTGAACAGGGAGCGTGTAAAAACCAGCTCAATAATTTCAGCCTAGTTACTATAAAAAGGGATAGCAGTGCTGGATCCAGACCATCGGGCCTCAGTTTGGTCTAAAAATAAGGGGGGGGGGGGCGCCCCCCTCCCCCCCCCACGCTGGATCCGCCACTGGATAGTTAAGCATTTCGCACGGTGAAATACACGCATTAATTCTTACTCGAAAATTTGCCCTGCTTTGAACTCAATCTTTACAAAATAGCAAAATTAACATCTAAGGTACCGCAAATATTCGCAGCCTTAAGATCAAATATCCTAAAAGGAGTTTCCTAAACGTCCCAAGGGTTTTACACTACTGTACCTTCTACGATCATCTTCCAATAAGCCACGGTTTTCAGTTCCAAAATCGTCTTCAAATCTGCTACTGTCTTGTCTCTACATAACATTCAACGAACAATAAACGTTTATTTATTAAAAACGCTGCCCAAGCCGAAGTAATAAATCTTAATCTTCATGCTTTAACCTCACTTTTGGTCAATAAAGCATGCATATAATTCTATTACGACAGAGGCGTAGCATGATTTACAGTGTACTTCTCAAATATAACAAGACTTCAATAACTGTAAATTAAACCAGGTCATCTTGTTCTGGTTCAACTGTAAAACACGTGGTTCAGTCAAGTCTTGTTTACTAAGGGACTGTATACATGAAGGGAGGAAGATCCAATCACTAGGAAGATCCTTGTCGGTGGATCATCCTCTGAACGCCATATGTGTTCTGTACACTTGAACCTCCATTAAGTGGCCCGACACCCTCAGGGTATTGACCCGGGGGGGGGGGGTACTCCTTGAAATTCTTGGTGGGGGTGAGCCGCCCGGTTCTCCAAATCCTGACCCTATTTCAGATTTTCCACACCCGTTTTCAGACCAGACCTCTAACTCCATAGCCGTTTTCAGACCTGGCCCCAGTTGTTCAAACGTTGGATAGCGCTATCCACCGGATAAATCACTATCCAATGGATAAGTATTAGGGAAACCAATTACGCTGTCCGCTGGATAGTGATTTATCCGGTGGATAGCGCAATCCAACGTTTGAACAACTGGGGCCTGGGCTTTAGGCCGAAATTATGTTATCATTACTCAGATTAGAGCGCAAACGAAAAAAATACTTCAAATCCATTTTGAATTCGCATATTTCTCTTTCTTTCTTACTCATTTGGAATTAAAACGATAAATACGTTCATACACTCCCGTAGTTCCCTCAAAAACCATACCCGATGGGGCAGCACATACCTATATAGCCTATATAAGGGAGTACCCTCCTCCGGGAGTATTGACAAGTGGAGGTTGGTCGCTGAATAGAGGTTCGTCAGAAATAAGCATAACCTTTGGCAGAAGCTTCACTTTATTTTGAAACAAACACAACACGGGAGCAGCATTACTGGTCCACAATTGGTCGTCACCTTCTATCTCGGACTCGGTATATCACTTCATCATATTCTTGAAATAAGGCCAAACTAAGTGAATCAAGCGTTTGGTGGCCGCTTAATACAGGTGATAACAATAGAAGAACCCTCGTTGGGACGGCCAAAATGTGGCCGCAGCCGCTTAAAAGAGGTTCAATTTACCATTCTATGCTACAGTTATTACGGGACTTTGATTACTGGAGGAGAAGTCGTTACGTCACGTTGCCATGGTAGCAAAATTTTTGGATGAAGTTACTTGAAAGTCTATTCGCACTATTTCAAACTTCACCGATCTTATTCAATTTCATTTAATTTGGCAAATCTTGGCGAAATTTTCTTTGGGACCGTATCTATCGTTATCTCAGTTTTAAAAAAGAAAGCAACAATTTTTGTGTTGTGTTCACCTAGTCCATAAAGCGGGCTCGCGAAATTAGGAAGTTTCATGTCGTAGTGGTGCAACGACAGCAAAGAAATGTACAATATAGCGTGATTGACGTGAAAAGTTGTTGTTCGTTAATATAAACAATAATAATTATTTTTTGCCGTTCTTCTTGACGTCGCCATCGTCGTTGGTTTTGTTGTCATCCAGAAATAGTGCTACCATGGTAATGTGACGTCACACTTCTCCTCTCTGTATTCAGTTTACATGCAAAAAGCTGCACTTGTCCCTTGCGTTACGATCTTCCTTGTACTAGGATTTTCCCAGCTGAGAGGTAGGAAAGTCTTAGTACTACGAAGATCCTAGCACTATGTAAACTGCTTGCGCTAGGAAGATCCTGGTACTGATGACCAACCACACAAAAATGGTGGGGGGTCGTTCAGTGGGTAATCTTTAATCTTTAATATTTCTTCTCTACTGTTAACCGCACGGACCGAAAAGTAGATCGGAAAAAAAAAAAAAAAAAAAAAACAAAGCGAAGTAAGGCATGGCAAAACAGCACTCTTCCTTGTAGAAGTATCTCTTCATTATATCAATGTTTAGCGCTCATAGGTAAGTTACCTGCGAAGGTCTTGTAGAGCCAACCAGTAGCTTTTCCTTTTCAACAACTCTCTGCAAAGAATAATCTTGACATTAAAAGAGACCTTTAGATTCTAAGACGAGGACGAACGACTACGAGGACCAGATTTTCTAAATACAAAATAGTTCGCGCGCGTTTTGTGGGAAAACTTGATAGCCGTCGTAATTTTACTACAAGTTTTAGCGAGAATAGGGACCTTTAGATTCTAAGACGAAAACGACTACAAGAGGGAGATCTTCTAAATACTGAGTATTGTTCGCGCGTGAACCAGGGTCCTTTTGGCGGGAAAACGTGATAGCCGTCGTCATTTTACTACAAGTTATAGCCGTAGTGGCGGAAACAAGTTATCAAACGTTAGAAATTTTTCTCATTTTTCGATCGGGAGAGGGTTTAACCTCCTTCAATAAAGATAACAGAGCTAACCTTTCTGGTGAAGAAGAAAAAAGAAAGACAATGGAGCATTCCGGGGCGTCGATTTTTGGAGAATACGCGAAAAATCTTTGAATCTTAAGTTCCTATTATCACTTGGGGCAAAAAATGCAACGCAAATATTGATCTCAATTCTCAAAGATCAAGGAATTTGTGTCACAGGAACACCAACTCAAACCTTCAAGGAATACCACTGTACCCGGTGCATCAAGCTGCTATCAGGGGACAATTTAGAGGGAGAACGTTAAGGAGCCGTGTCACGACTGTCTGGTTAATTTTTCCAATATTGGCCATTACGCGTCCTCGTTCGCTATGGAACTCAACGTTAGTAAAGAAACTACCTGTAACAAAATAACAGCCTTGTGACCAACAAATGTGTTGCACTAGTATTATATTAAAGGTATGACAAAATGAACTTTGAAATACTGTTAGGCTAAAAAGTTTTCAAAAGCCACAATTCCTATCCGTTTTAATTCTCTTCAAAGTTTCGCCATCCAGGCCTTCTTTTATATTTGTGTTATTTATACCTTCCTCTAATGTTGTGAGAGGTCATGTTCATATTTCACTCAATTTGGCGGCAGTTCTCAACGTTTGAAGTTTGATAAATTTCGTGGCACAGCTCCCATAAACGGGGTATTGTTGGTCATGGTTTGTAACATTCCAAACTAAGCCAAAGGAAGCGTGAATCATGTAGCCAGAATGTTTAAACAAGTGAACACAATTCGTCCCTCCTCACAATACACAATAAATTAAAGCCAATAACTAGTTATATTTTACTCAGTTATTTATGCCCCCTCCTCACTCCCCCAGCCGAAAAAAAAGTAAAAATATTCACCGCTTAGACTTGTGAAGATTTAAAGAGAATTGCAACTTACATTTTGCACTGAATAATAACGTGAAATGGACTCTCTAAATTCACCCTTCAGTCGCTCGTGTTGTACACGCTGTTGTCTCTATATAAGTAAAAAAAACCATGGTACAGTCGGTAATGACAATAAGTGAAAGAATGTAATTTTCTTTAATACTAAAAGATCATCATCATCATCATCATTTCTCTTCATGGCAGAAGACACTCTAAAGGTCGTTTCGCTTTCTGAAACATGTGGCGTTTTACAGGGCAGGGTCATCAGCGCTTGTATATGCTCAATACCCCAAGGTTAAGTGACATCTAGTCTTTGCCCATGGGTCAACACAGGTCGCCCTACCAGCCAATATATAGCCTTAGCTCTAGCTCTTGTCAAGGCTGAGGTTTGTATCATCTTCCAAGGCCAAAGACCAAAGGAGATGTAAGTAAAAGTAACAATAATTATACCCCTGAGATAATCATTATAACTACACAGTTTAAAAGAGGACATTGTTAACAATATGAAGACCCCTGTTTATGATAGATTAGCCCGTGTGGCAGGTGCTAAAAGGGGAAGGCTATTGATAGACGTAGCCCTCAAAAATGAGAACCAGGTGCTTGACACAGGTTTCAAGAATGACCTATTTGAAGGCATCACATTGTCAGAAAACATCCCTTTCTTTGAGGTGAGTGATAATAGAAATTGAAGTCGATTGAAATTACAACTGGCACATAGTGACAAGAGGACAATCAGACTTGCTACAAGTTGACCTCTCATAAGTTCTTAAACGTGAGCAAAGCGAGCTTTGGGTACTTGAAAAGCGAGTGAAGCTGGCTTCAATGAGGTCACGCACTACACAGCAACCAAGCAGGCGCCAAAGTAGCAAGGTCTACTTCTTTCGCCTGAATGGATTTGAATCACATGAGATGTATAAAATCATGCAGGGAAAGTGATTGGGACAAGCTGCATCAGGGGTGGTGTCAAATATCAGCAGATTATATCACGCTTATACCCTCACTCTACAGGACAATGAAAGGGCATTTAAGGTGTATGTAACATAGACAATCAAACCAGACTTGGTTCAGTTGGAGGCTGAAATCAAAACAAGGAAATAAGCACCTCTCCCCTGTCGCCAAGCACTTGAATTGGAAAATTTTATAAGCACCCTCCGGCCACATAGATAACAACAAAAAATAATGTGCACTGTAAACTTACAGCACTTGGGCTGCTTCCAACACACAAAGAACTCATTTCTTTCAAGTATGCAGTTGTTTTTGTTGTCAAGTCATTGGTTGCTAGTTGTATTCTGTGGCTGTAAGGAAATAATCAAAAAATGTTAGAAATAAGAGGACCTGTAAACTGACGTTAAAGTTCTGTAATTTTTAAGATGGCTTTATGAAGGCATAATTTTAAGGAAGAAACAGCCTCATTCTTACATGTTTCCCATAAAATCAGACACCTAGAATTGGTCCTTTCCAATCTTGACTCTCTATATAGCAGACACACAAGTACCAATCCTGATGGATGGGCTCCATTCCACAAGGGCATAATTTGTCATCCATCTGAATAAGAATAAATATTAACAAGTTGACTTACAGCTTTTCTTCCTGGCCATCTTTTCCTGGTGACAATTGTTTAAGAGTCCGTTCCAGAGCTGCAGCTAAGAGTCAAAGGAAATTTAGATTTAATTCAAAATCTGTGGGCCACATGTTGCATTTCCTATAAATAAGAACCTGCAGGGAGATTTTTGCCAAATTATACCTATTGCTTGTTTATCTTGTAGGAAATTATATTTTAATTTAAGTGGAGGTCCCATTGCTTGTTTAGGATTAGTCCTTACAATTTATTTCAATACGACTATTATTTATGAGTAGATGTTTAGAACATATTTCCAACGATTGTTTCTTGTTTCTGCCACTGAAAATTAGTCTTTATCCCTAAGCTTTGTGAGGTATTGCAAGACACATATGTCTAGTTAAAATTTAAATTTGTGCACAAAATCCTTCAGTGGGACCATTCAAGTAAAACCCTCTTGGCTATCCTTTTAACATTTGCTGTTTCTCAGCTTTTTTTGCACAAAGAATGATATTCAGAAAGCTTCAATAATTTCTCCATTTTTTGAGTCATTTTTGAGAGGGAATACATGTAGGTCATCGGGTACTTAAAAAATACATAAAACAGTGGATGTGAATGATGGGTCCATATGCCTTGTGCAGTACCTTGCTGTGTTTTAAGGCAGAAGTTTGGCTACTGTATTTCCTCAAATAAGCACACATGCTCTAACAAGTGCCCACCTCAACTCCACTTTTATTGATGAAAGAATCAATATTAATTTTGATGCAGATAGTGAGATAATCAAAATTTTTATAAACAAGCATACCAATAAATGTACATGTGTGCAAAGTGTTTATCGGACTATGCTACACTTGATTACCATCCACTGTTTTAACAACCAAAAATTAATACATTAGTATAGGCTTAACATTTACGTCAATAATGTTGTATTTTTTTAGATTTAGTCAAAATAAAGTTTCAGTTCATTGAAAGGAAGCCACCTGCTTCCAATAAGCGCCATGTGCAATATAAATATGGGGGTGGGCACTCATTTGAGAAAAATGGTATTTTTCCTTGTAACATGTGTGAAACTTTCTACCATCTAACCCCAACACACGAAAACAACTGAGCTAATGCAACCTCATCCTCAGTGTTCCCAAGTTGTTGTCCTTTTTTTCTAGCAATTATAGCCTATACTATTGACGTTACAATTTTACTGAATTTTTGTTGACGTCTTCCAAATTTGGTCAACTGCAGCTGGTTATGAAGCCGGGGGATTTAGGCCTATCACAAATGGAGAAATGTCTTGGATAAATAATTATAAGCATTCTTCTCATATAATTGCCAATGAGCAGCCTCGCAAAGATGCGAGGCTGCAAGGTTACAGCCTAATAGAGCAGTGCGCGATTGTTCCTCAGGCAGAAAAGATCTCAAATTGATGTAACATGTAGTAATTTAAGGCAATTTTCATGACATAATGCAGAACAGAGAATGCATTGTTTTTGAGTGAACAAGTGATACAGAACATAGAATCCACAAGCCATGTGCGTGTTTGTGAGTCCTGTGCTCATACCGTCTTCAACCAATAGTCGGGTGGATATTCATTTGCATCATATGCAATAGCTGTCGCATTTGCCCACTGGAATTTTTTATTGCCTGCCGCCAAGAAAAATAATGTTGTAAAATTGATTGTCTTTGAAGCAAAATAAGTCGGAAGGCTTTATTGACGCACCATAAATCTTAGAGACCAAATATAAGTCTGTACACTGATTATTCGTGGACTTGAATGCAATTTTTCAAGGATTCTACATTGGCTTACAAGACCACTAAATTTTATGCAAAATGACGTGTGCAACTTCAGACAAAAACACGAACTTCGATATCTCAAAAAATTTGCTACATAAAGTTGGGACTTCAAAATTAATTCTTTATGCAGTAGAACAGTTTAGTTCACTATTTTCAAAAGACAAACTTAAAGCAAGGGGCACACATACACCAACCCATGATCCGTCTCCCCCACACACGTCGTGGGAGAACTGCCCAGCGGTTCCCAGCCAACAGCTCCCACATGTGTTGTGTGGAGCTGGTGCTTAAAGGAGTGCTTTGCACTCACCTCGCGGCAGTAGAGGGTCTTTGAGACACGGGTTTTTCCCGTTCATTGACCTGACAGCTATACCATGCTGGTGAGTCCCAATAATTGCCAAGCAGCTGGTCCATGGCTTCTACTGCCCGTGTGATATGGCTGTGGGCATGCATGGGTTGGTGTATGTGCCCCTTGCTTGTACTATTTTGAAGTTAATTTTCGCAGTTAATTTTCGCTTATGCAATTGAATTAAGTTCAATCTACTTTTCATAAATTACTGTAATTCATGACATTTCTAAACAAATTGAACAGCGTGCATATAGGTAAAACCTTTGCTCGTTGACAGTTAACAATAGCACAACTAGTAATACACTTACTGTTACTGTTAATCTGGAAGATGTTACTGCTGACATTATCACTAAGGTTCTGAAATCTCTCTCCACCTGAAGTGAATAAAATGGCAAACTTAAGGCGAATAAATTATAGTCAAAATGCTCAGTAAGTGTCACTTATTATTCAGGACTAAATTTCATTAATCACAAATGGATTTGATTACTGGAATCAAAATTCCACTTTGAAATTGAATACCATAATATTCCAATGGTGACATTGTTTCGAATAAGGAATATTTTTCATGTGCATTTTCATGTGCATAGTTGGGGACCGTTAGTGGCTTGAAGAATCTGATTGATTTTGTGTCAACTTGATGAAATATGAAATGCAACTTGACCTGTTACTCTGGCAATAACTTGATGAAATAAGCAATATATCTTACCGCCATATTGATATCTTGATGAAGGGTGACCGTAGCTCACACCGACAATACCAGATGATTGTGAGCCATATGTAGGTGGCCGCGACTCACCAAAGCCCCCACGTGACATGAATGGAGTAAACAACTGCTAAAAAATATTTCGCATAGGTTTTTTTCAAAATTGCTTCAAGGATAATTTTCTAACCTGACTCTGATACTTGGAGACAAAGGATAAAAGGTTTGAAGACTTGTCAAGGAATCACAAATTCAAAAAGCTGCTTTCCACCCCTCAAAGTTAACTCTTTTCTTCATACAGACAGTTGGACCCACATACACATATTTGTGACTAGATATTAGATGCATGTAAACATCTATAAGGACACTGGCATGACTAAAACAACTAAAATTCTGTGTGACTGAATCGTTATACTGATGCATTTCTAATCTCAAGAAACAAGAAAAGGCAAAATGCAATCTATTCAAAGGAAGGTATAACTTAGGTCCATAGTACAGTAAAAATAAAATTAAATTACTTTTGCATGTTCATTTATCTATTTATTATTTTATCTTTTAATTTTTATCATTTGAAATGACTGGTTAAATTTGATCTGCTAGAAATAAACCGTAAACAACTAAATGGAGAAGCATGCATTGTCCCAGCTTGTGTGACGACCCAAATAAAATTAGTGTGTTTTAATTTTTTTGGACCACTATTTTCCTGCATTGAAAGAACACAGGTGCTTGGTTTGAAATAAACTTTGGTGAAGTGAGCTGCTATAATAATATTACACCAATTGTTGCCTAGCACGCAATTGAAGTCTGCTTATTAGCCTCGCTTGCCTAAGCAGCAAGACTCATAATCTGCAACCTGTTTTTTGTCGTCTTTTGTACAAAAATGGGGGTCATTGTGCAGTGATTAAGATCCACGTCAGTCTGCGGACATAGTCTGAGACAATTTTTATTTGTCCGAACAAATTTACCTAAATTATGACAAATGTCCGAAATGAAAATAAAATATGAAATACTCTAAATGTGTCTTGTGGTTGTGATAAATGTTATAGATGGGTACAATCATCTTCCATATAGTGAAAATATCCCTAGTTTGAGCTGCAATTTGTGCACTGAACAACGCAACCACCTCCATCTTGGATGTATTTTACAAAGATCTCACAGTGCGTGTGATTAGTCAGATGAGAGCCACTAGGTACACTTGTTATAATGCGGGCGCCATCTTTGATTCTATTTCGAGCAAACTATGTGAACGAAAGACCTTAGTTATGGCTGAAAACAGCCAAAAACATTTGCCATATTTTTTCAAATGAAGAAAGCAGTGCAAAGTCAAATCTGATAAAGAAAGCAAAACAACGCAAGTTGCTCATTAAGATTTGAATGATGTTGACGATCCAACAAAAGCAGTTGCCGTCAAAGCTAAATGAAAATTCCAGCCGCGATGGCTTAAAAAGCAACCCATGGCTGGATTATGATCAAGAAAACAACAGCATGAAGTGCAGTTTATGCGAGTATGTTTGGCTAACATAAGAATATCCTTGCTGTGACGATTTTTATTTGTTATGAAAGTCGCACATTTGAACATATATTTTTTGGTGCTTTGTTTGTTATTTTAAAAATATCCACTCTATGTTAAACAGGCAAGGAAAGACAAAAACAAAATATCTTAACATCTCATTCTGGAAACATAAACTTCAAACTTGAAAGAGTATAATATTATTCATGTTGAATGTGGTCATGCATTGGCAATGCTATTAACAAAAGAAATAAGTCTCCTAGACCTTTTACATGTGAAAGTATATTTTAAGTCTAATTTTCATCTATTCGGTCATCAGAAAACAAAATAGCATCTGACAAAAACTAAAAATGTCCTAAGAAAGTTCAGCCCTTTAGGACATTTTGTCCTTAACACTTTTTCATGGATCTGAATCACTGATTGTGCCAGGTGTTCCTTGCAGAGACCGTGGAAACTGGGACTAAGAATCGTTGTGTGATCGAAGCCACACATGTTTTGCGAAGAAAGCTTAGGAAAGATTAAATTTAGTAGCCTGAAATTCATCCGATTGCTTCGAGTCGTTTTCTTCTCTCAACAACGTCTGAATCGACGGGCCGTTAATGCCGTTCAGTGATGTCACTCACTACCCGAAAACCGGGTAGTGATTTTGATTGGTTGATTGTCTAAACATTCGCATAATTATGTATAATTATGAAAAATTTTAGCGGGATTGTCGCTTGATATTCAAGGGATCGCATCCCTGGCATTCTTTCGTGTAGTTCAAACATTTCGATAAGCTTAATCTTTATCTTAAACTGCAAAATTGCCCTTGTCTTCGAAACTGAAATGCTAAATTGAACTGCGAATGAAGAATCATTGTGGGGAGTCCGTAGGTTTTTCATTTAGAGCCGCTTTGTGGTTTCGGCGGTGACTTTGTTTACGCGAAGTTTTCTGAGATCAGTGTTATAATTCGACCTTCTTGCTATTTTCACTGTCAAGTGTAATGATTCTGTTAGCTGTTCTTTCTTGTTTCCTTGTTTTTTTTCTTCGTTAAGGACCAAATAGCTTCTTTTCCATTAAAGCAAATCATTGTGTTTTTGAACTAAGTGTTTCATGTGTGTGTTTATTTCATTGCGTGATTGCGACCGAGTTTGATTATAGAATTCAGTACAACCCGTTCAGAGTTTTACTGCATGCAGTTGAACATGAATCATGATCGCAAAAAATAAAGCAATTCTGTATCATGCAGACATTTCCAAACGATGTTTCTTGGTTTGCCACTTGAAAATCGTGTTTTACTTTTTGCATGAATTAAAGCAAAGATCAAGGAGTAGTGACGTCACTGGACGGCATTAACGGCTGGTCGATTCAGACGTTACTGAGGGAGTAAATAAATTTAGAGCTTTTTCAAAACGTGTCGGTCCACAAATGCTGTCGCTTAAACGCGTTGATTTCTTTGGAACAAGTGAACACTACTGAGTGGTCGGAAAAAAATACGAATCTTCATTAGCAAAACTGCAATGGTCGGGTGTTGTAAACTTTCATTGTAGGCAAATGGGTCTTGTGATGAGCATGTGGTTTATTTTTGGCAATTATTGAAATGATGTACCATGTAAATCACTTTTTTTGATCTCTGGCAGTGATGTACTTTCTCTGGAATTGAGGCCCTTGAATTTTCATGTATCCATAAACGCATATACCCTGCGACCGCAGATGTGCATGTATTTCCAGTCATCACTAATACACCTTCTAAATCAATTCAGAAAAGCAAATAAACTGTATCGACTTCGATAAAGAAGGAAGTAAAAAACCTTCAACAAGTAAATGCTGTTTCGTGTAGAATTAATCGCCTCATCATTTGTCAATCTAAACTCCAAGCAAGCGAGACTGGTGCCGCTGTAGGAGGGTTCTTGTTTTTATCTGCTTGAAAGATCGACAAAATACTACAAATATTATTTTCAATTTCAACTTCAGAACACGTCAAAAGGAACTACAATGAATGCACTGCTATAGAATACCAAACAACAGATGCTTATTTAAGCGTACTGCACAGCCCAAGCTCATTCAGTTACTTGGTCTGTTTAGAAAACACTGACACCAAAAAAGTTTTAGTTCACCGCTACATTTGTGAATTGGAGGAACATGTTGCTTGAAATATACAAGTCATGTATCATCTTGTTTTTTAATAGACCTAATTTAGACCTGGTACCTCAAGTACTCCCAAGGACCAAAATTAACTTTGAGCCTTGTCAGATGACAAACCATACATATGTTGTGGTTCAAATTTACAGCTGGTTTAATTTTAAATTTTCCTCTATTATTGTCTATTTTTATCCTTAATTATATAAGCTTACATATCATAATTAAGTTTGTTTGTTCCTCTAGGACATTTCTACAAGAAAAACGCCTTTAAAAACCTCTCAACACCCACTACTCAAACGTTGACTCTACCAGAGGCTAGCTAAACAAAAATCACAGAAAGGAACTGTCTTGCCTTTAACTTACAAAAATTTCTGCGTGCAAAGGGTTTATATCAGATTTGTCATGCGGTATTTCCCTGCCATAAACACAAAGGCTCATTTTCGCCACAATGAATTAATTTTGACTTGTTGTTTTCCTGTACTTTACAAAATTCCCACGTTCACTGAAAAGTTTTGTAGATCACGAGATCATCTGTTGTATAACAAGCTAACGCTTGCAAGCCGTTTGACATGACACCACTAGGTGAAAGCGAAATCGACACCGGCAAAAGTTGCACTGCAAGGAACACATGACTTATCCCTTTTTGCAAAGCGAGAACAAAAACTTACTTGTACGACTGACAAGAGACAATGTACAGCCCTGTATCACTGAAAATATAGTCGTCTTACCGCAGCTTATAGTGGTAAAAAATTCACATAAATTACCATCATCATTTGTGGAAAGGGGAGGAAAGAAGACAACCTTTAGAACATGAGCCAGCCTTGCGATATCAGACAGCGGATATAAACAATACCTATGTCATATATGAGTATTGTTATGTACCCAAACTCATACCCAGTCCTCGCTATTTCTGAAATTTCGCTTGACCGTTCTTCTTCCGTCGTCGGCCATGTCTGAGAGAAGTGTCACAGTTCGCTGTGAGTGAAGTAAAATAATGGCTGGCAATATTGCACTTGGAATAAAAGAGGTTCAACATGAACATTCTGGAGACGAAAGTGATGATGATGTTGATGATGTGGTTGAGCAGAGCCCTTGTGGAAGATGGGAGAAGAGACGGCAAGAGGTTATTGTTAAACTAAGCTTATTTGGCTAGGGGGAGCACATACATCTGTTTCAAAGTTCCTATGGCCTTTTCGTTTCAAAGTTAAACGGCCAAATGTAAAGCAAAAATAGCAGTGTTATAGAAAGTCTAAAAAAGAAGTACCACAGTATGTAATGTCATTATTTGACCAAGCAAGAGGTCAAGATATTGATCAGGGATAAATTTGAGGTCTGTTAAGGAAAAACAGGAGCATGGCCAATATTCAGCTTTGTCATGTGTCTGAATCCGTAAGCAGGTAAGATGAAGCAGATCCTGTGTTCTGATTGGCTACCTGAGTCCCACAAGAAAAAATGTCTCTTTTTGGCCAAATAAAAAGTCATTTATTAACCAAGCTTGTTTGGTCAAGAAAGCTGGATATTTGCCTCGTTCTTTTATACATTTTTATTGACCTCAACCTTGCCTCAGTCTATAATATCTAACCATCTTGACTGTATGCTTGATCAAAAACATAAGTCTTGACTGAAGAGGTACGTTTAATATGGGATTTATTGTATGGAAAAAAAAGCAAATTCTTTTCTTGCGGGACAAATCAGTAACCTCAAGCTATAAGGCTGTGCTCTAGCAGTGCCTTGTGGCCCCTGACACCTAACTTTTGCTTCTTGGCGACTAGAAACAGTGTTCGCACACACCTTAAAAGTCCTTGAAAGTCTTTGAATTTTAAACTAAAAATTCAGGGCCTTGAAAGTCCCTGAAAATTGCAGTGGGTGCTGGAAAGTCCTTGAATTTGAGTACGAACTTTATCCAATATTAACCCAGATTCTTAAGTGCCTAACACAGGAAAGACATTCAGGATAAAATTGCTCAAGTTTTGGAAGAACTAAAGAAGATACAGTCTCAAGAGTCTTTTTTGCACTGAATGGAGTCCTTGAAAAATGGGAAATGTGTCCTTGAAAGTCCTTGAAAAGTCCTTGAACTTTTTGTTCAAAAAAGGGTACAAACCCAGTAGAAAATCTTAGTATTTTCTAACAAAACCAAATGCTGGGCACCCTGGGTTTCACAGGTTCAGAGCATTGGGCTCCTTTCAGTTTTTCTTAGAACGCAGCCTTGAGCTTGCAAGATGGGCCATCTTGCCTGCTTGGTTACCCTATCAGAACACAAGATTTCCTTCATTTTACTTGCTCATGGAGCAGGCTATATAATGCAGAAAATAATATATTTTTCTGATTATTTCAAGACATGATTTGGGGACAGAAAATCCTTAATTTAAAAACTAAACAATATTATGGTAAGTTAAACAGCTTCAGCTAGACTTATGGATGTATTAAAAACTAAAAATTATTATTCTTGTTGTTTTTGTTTTTTATCTGTAGGTGATGCAGCGAGATGTTCCTGGCATAGATCACTCTTTCCTTGCTATGGACACTGAGGAAGGAGTTGAGGTGGTTTGGAATGAAGTGCAATTTTCTGAGAGAAAATCATTTAAAAGCCAAGAGGTACCATTTGTTTTTAATGTGTGTATTTGCTGTGCATACTGGTGCTGAAATCCTGTGGACGCTCCTCCGTGCCAATTTTCTATCATTTTACGGCCCCATACCCCAGGACTATTATCAATATTAATTTAGATCAACTACCTCAAAGCTTAGAATAACGTATTTTGTGTAATTTGCCTTTTGTAACTGGTTTCTTTATTTTTTCTTTAGGACACTGTTAAAGCTGTCTTTGAAAACCTGATTCAGCTGGATGTATGTAGTATTACGTGAATAAATTCTAGACAATGCTGGGTTTATGACCCAGGTGACCCAGTTTCATGTCAAATTCTCCCTTTTGACTGAAATACAATGTTTGCATAAGTAAAACAT